ACATTGCACACTTGTGTAGGTAGGACCAAACACTGACCATTAGGATGCTCTTTTAGCATTTGACTGTGTGTTTTAAATACCTCTGTAGTATTCATTACTGAACAATGGATTTTATTCTTGTATTTACCTGCCTCTGTTCCTACAGCCAACAGACCCAATGGGCTATTCACATAAATAAAGAATAGTGGGATTTTTCTTGTCAACAAAGAACAGTCACGCTTCACAGGATTATATCCAAGTGAAGCATTCAATTTCCATTCAATAATTAATTTTCTACACCCCATCACTTACAGAGTGATCTTAATGGCCAAAATACAAGTGACTTCCTGTGTTTACGTCAAATTAACATTTTCTATTGCAGTATCCAAATATTACCAGTAGCCAAAAGAAAGCTGATGGCTGCAAGATCAGTTCTGTGCAAACTTCAGTTAAACCTATTAAAGCCTATTAAGCCTATGCATTTTAGAGGAATATCAACTAGTTACCACAGAACACATTTTGTACATCACTGTTTTAAGAAGAACTCAAAGTCTCCAACACTTAGCATATTAAAGTGAACTGAATTCATTTTTTACAATTCATTACGGAATCTAAGTTGATCAAAAAGTGCATAAATGCCTAAAATTGCTGAAATGCAAGCACAAAGAGGAGTAGGAATTCATACGGGAGTGTAGTTTTACAGCTTATCTATACTGCTGCACAAGGCTGTGTTGACTGCTTTTAGTTTGCTACAGGTTTCATATGATCATAACATTTCGTAGCAGTCTTTAGGCATCTACATCAAGTCAATAAAAGAGAGAGGAAGAAGCAGGCTTACCAGCTACCCCAAGATAGCATAAAAAATGAGGAATAGGGCCAGTGTGTATTTCAGGACACACACAACTGGACATGTGCCCCAAGAAAAGCTGGTGAACATTGAGGTCAGAGGTGTTTTGTTGTGGAGCAGAAGGCAAGCAGGAGCAGTGACTTCACAGGCAAGGACACAGTTCTGCAGTAGACAAGCAAAAATAGCAATTCCAATGATCCTAGGAGGTTCAGCCAATGCTCCAGTGCATGCTACACAGACAATCTGTAGTCATGGGATGGGACCAAGGCCAAGTCTCACAGACTATACAAGACAGCATATGCACAACATAGCACAAGCAAGGAGTGAGGATTCTCAGGGCAGTTGAAGACTACTGGTGTATTTAGGGCCTTAACCATAAACAGACTCACTCAGAAGTGCAGACACAAGCAGTTGAGGGAGCTGTCAAAGTACAAGGCCTAGGCAGTAGGAGCATGAGCGCACTAGAAATGGCACTGCACACAATCTGCCAAGTACATCAGTTTGTATTCAACACAGCTTGAGATCCATGAAAAGAGAGGAGTACTGTAGGGAGGTCTGGCCATGTAATAAAAAAGGAAAACACGAGAAGTGCAGACAAAGGTACGTACTGCAACTGTGTGTATTCTGCACTGATAGGGAAGACAGAGTATAACAGACAAGAAAAAATGGATACCTGAAGGCTGTACAACATGATTAGCTTTAGGGAGCTTCAAGAACTACTCCCAACTCTCAGCCAAGGCTCCATTCCAGTGAGGGCACAACCTCTATTAATGTAGTTTTCTCTCATTGAACATCAAACCTTTAGAGATTTTCTGAAAGGGCAGAGGGAATTCTTGTGTGTAAAACACCTTGAAAGACCAATGTCCTATTTAGCTTTGTCAGACTTGCACAGAAAAACAGTCCTGCATGTTATTAACTGTTAGAAAAGCGTGTTTATAGACAATCCTCTTTCCTTTAAAGGACTTTGAAACTGCACAATTCATCAGTTTGGTTTAAAGTCTAACTTGCTAGATTTAATCATTTTATCCCTCTGTGAAAACTGCATATGATCACAGTCATAGCAGTGACATTTGCTTTACCCTTTCTTAGAAGAGGCCACAATATCCTTTTTCTCCAAAGTAGTTTGAGGCATTGCTATCCCTTCTCATCTAATGCATTCAATTCATTCCAGGTAGGAGAATAGAGAGGAGAGCAGAATGCTGAAAATCTTCCAGATCTTGAGATATGAAGAAATACAGGTGGTGTTGATTCTAAATCTCACCCAGCATTGTAAGGAAGCCTCTTGCATCTGTAGGCAGTAACCACAGCATGAACAGGAGACACTGATAGAGACTCTTGCTCTAGCACAAGTCCTTCTTTTGTTATTTGATCTAATATGAATTTACTCATATGTTAAAACAGGTGTCAGGGAACTGCCAAGTGAGTGTACTTTGTCACTCTAAAGGCTTAATATTTACAGCTTATGATTACTTACAACAGTCAGGTCATATTTTCTGCTTAGTTTTCAATGTCAATGTAAATAGCTTCTTCTGTAGCCTATGATGTACAATATTTCCCTTTGACTTGTGCTGGGTGGTTTTTGTTTTTTGGCATCTCCTTTTGTCCCATAAAACTAAAAAGTTTATTTATGGGCTTTTACACTTGTACAGTTTGCAATGTATTAAGCAGTGTAAGATCTGACAATTCCTCAGAAATATCAACGAGAATTGCTGTGTCCCATCTGTTCTTTAGATTGTCTTAGCACACTGTACAGTACCACACATAATAAGTCTTTGCTGATGATCTGAGCTCCTAAGTGTCTTCAGAGGACTATAAGAGAAAGCAGATTTGAGACTGCCCACAGTCTCTCTAAGCACATAAAAATATCCTGTATTTCCCTCCCCTTCTTGCCTCTTTAATTTGTACTTCTACATGCATGAAAGCAAATAGATCAGGGTAAAGCCATCTGGAGGGTAAGAGGAGGGTAGAGCTGGCAGATAGTGTTAATCAGGCTCCATTCTCCTCTCCCCTCTTTGCTGCAAAGAGTTGAACTACCCACAAGCACTGGATTTCACTGCCAGAGTGCTGGTAGTCTCTGGTTATACCTTCATTTTGCACACAGTGCACTAATGCCTTTCCATGTACAGCGGCATGCTACCAGTTCTGCCCATCAAGGGATCTAATTTAGAGAGTGCTCCAAGCACAGCAGGCTAGTCTAAGGATACTATGTAAGACCAAAGGGAACAATACTTCGTTTATTGCCTCTGTATAAAACAAGAATAACTTATTTCTGATCAAGTAGAAATAAAGTGCCCCCCATCAAAATCAGATTCAAGGGAACCTTGAGATCACTAAACTGGATTTAAGTCAGCATCCTCAGTCAGGAAAATATAAACTCTAAAGGACAGCTGTTAGAAGTGGGAAAAGACCATCTTAGAAAGGAGCTGGTGTCTGAGAAAGAAAGGAGTAATCTATGAAGAAACAGGAAAGTTGCATGAAGAGCTGTGCCTCTTCAGAAAAGGCAGATGATCAGCCTCTGCCAAAGCAAATTCTGTCTGTGGAGCAACACTTAAGTTAAATGCCACCATCATCAAAAGGGGTAACTACTCTCAGCTAGGCGTTGAGACAAGAAGCTATTCCAAAAGGACTTTGACAGACTATTTGTTCTGCTATAGCTGTTCTTATCAACTGTTCAGTGCAAATAAGGACAACTGGGCAACCTGTGCCCTTGGCCTGGCTTGAAGAAGCAATATCTTAATGAAAAATCAGCCCGAGTTCCCAGAAAAGAGAAGTGAAGGATGGTCAAATGGGGTCAGTCATAAATGAATGCTTTTAGGTTTTTTTTTTTTCCTGAAAAATATTTACTCCAATTATTTACTCGGAAATATTTGTACTCCAAATATTGAATTTGGAGAGTTCACAGTCTTCTTAAGGCTGAGTGGATCAGAAATGCAGGTGGGTAGTATCTCAGCAATTTAATGTCTGACAGCATTATGTCTGCCATATCTATTCATCACAGTCACTCAGGCATCCACCAGACACTACTGGTTTTCAGCTAGATAATCAAGATTACTAAAGAGTTTATTAAAACTCTTCATTAAAACTCAACTTGGTTTTTGCTGCTGGTTTTTTTTGTTTGTTTGTTTGTTTGTTTGTTTCAATTCACAGAAGGAAGGATTTCCTCTGTCTTGAATTGCCTGAGGAAAATGAAATTAGAAATTCTGGCAGGTTAAAGATAAAGAGATAATAATTGAAAACAAAAGCCTCAAGGATCAGTTTGCAAAAGATGAAAGAAAAAAAAAGCAAACTTTTTTTCCTGTTTTTTTTAAACATATTCAATAGCATGCAGGAGCATTTATGGGAATGGTAGATCCTAGTGAGAGAAAATAAAAAGCTCTCAGACACACTGCAACAGGAGGAGGACAGAATAAATCTTTGGCATCAGTATGCACTGTCCCACTAATTGCATTAAACTGTGACAATTAGAGATAGACATTTATTTTTTTTATAGGACTTGGCCTACTCAAAAGCCATTTGGCTGGAAATGTCATTGCTCTAAAGTGAAGCTTTCCAAACTTTGCTTGTACGGGCACTGTCATCACAAGAAGAGAACAATGCTGCACCATGTCAGTAGCAGCAGTGGAGGTGGTAGCTTCTGGCAGCATGCAGCGCTGCACTTGCATTGGTGGAGATGTGACTGATTGTAGCCTTGATTTTCCCTCTGAAGCCATCTGCTGGCCTCTCCACACAAGGTGGTAAAGGAAGAGTGACTTGGTCATTGTCTTCCTCTGGGATTAGTTTAAAATTGCTCACATCACAGGCACCTTACCTGCAGAATGCTTATTTTAGGAGTGAAATAATACAGAGAGTGATTATTTTTAATGCTTCCCACTCAAAGATATCAAAGCAAGGCCCAACTAAAGCACTGTTGGGTACTTACCAATGGCTTTTTTATGCATGAGGAAAAAGAGATGCACAGAAGTGTTAATGCCAACATCTTCAGTGGTAACACTACCCCATTCATTCTTAGATCCATGTCACCTCATGGGGCCTCAGATGTATCTTCAGCAGTGTAAAGAAACGCATAGCTTTTTTTTTGAACTCTTACTTTCACAGACAAACTTCTTTTAATTTTTCAGATGTATATCAAGTCCTTAGGGGAAAATACTAGATGATTCCAATGACAGAAGTCTCATAAGGTTTTGAAAAGCAGACTTTATTTAATAGGCACATCATTGCTTTAATAGCACTGGGCTGCACAATTCATTTCACCATTTATAAATGGTTTTTCGTTAGATTACATTGCATTTCCTCAGTGACAGTAGGATTCAAGTAAAAAAGTTACTGCTTTTTTTTTAATAATTTCTCAAGATGGAAAAAAACAGTAGAATTACTAGTGCACAGGAACATAATACAGACTGAACTGCCTGTGAACCAGCAGAAGTCAAGACAATAATACAGACTGAACTGCCTGTGAACCAGTAGAAATCAAGACAAACTGTAAGTTGAGCAATGAACAGTTAAAGCTATAAGACAACCACAATACATTTGCTAAGATGGGATTTTGCATTATGCAGAATGGAGATGAATGTTGCCCACTAACACAGCATGGGACTGGCTTTCTTATACCAAGAAACAAAGACTGTCCAACACAGACAAGAATGAGGGTTTCAAAACAAAACAACTTACATAAAATTAGGTTCCCTATTATTTCTGATTATAAAAGTATAATCTCTCAGCTTGTAAAAGTTAAAGGCTTAAGAGAAAAGCACTGCTTACATAACTCTAAACCTGCAATTTTAATCAGCTTTTCAGGCCTTTTTTTTTTTTTTTTTTAACCTATTTTACAATTATTTGTGAGAATATAAAACTGTCTTTAGGAGACAAAAACATAGCATTCTTAATTGTTTCAGTAACTAAGTAGTTACTTGTTTGATATATTTCTCTCCTGAAAAACTTCATTTTACCATTTTACTAAATTTCACCAGCAGAAGCATGTAAAATCAGAAAACATGAGAGGAAAATAACATTGCTTCATGAAAGTAAAATGCGTGATTTTAACATAGTTTTATGAACATTGTTAAAAGAAGCATATGTGGCATTGAAACATTCTGAAAAATGGATAAATATTTTGTGAATCTTAACAATCAGTAGTTTCAATGTTCTTAGGACTTGCATTTTATTTTCATAATAGATATTTCCAAAGTTAATAACTTGCATTATTTTTTTTTTCTTTTTCTTTAAATATTTTCTGGCATTGTATAGGACAGACAACCTAAAACCAACATTGCAGAAATCTAGCGTGCTGCACACATTAACATACACTAGTTACTTTAGTAATAGAACTTTACAATGAAGGTACCTACTGCATTATAAAACTCCTTTTTTTAATCAGCTTGTCAAACCTTTTGAGAAGCAATCTGGGCAATCAGGTGTGGTATTTGTTGTGTCTACTGTGAATATAGCCAATTATAGAATTAGAGATCGCTCTCTCCATACAGTGCTGATGAAAAAGAGGTGTAATCCAGAGCTCCAGGAACAGAACCTGGGCCCGTGTACTGTGGCATTCTCTTGATGCAGTACTGAGCCTGCTCAGGAGGCAGCTCTCGACGCAACTCATCTGCCAGGATATAAGGCTGTGAAGGGGGAAATGATGGACAAATTTAGTATGTATTCTTCAGAGACATAAAATATATTTATTATGTGACTAATAAGCTCAGATGTTCTGCCTACTTTCCTGAAACCATGTGTTTTTCTTGGTCAACTCTACCTTTAATGATGAGTTGAAGGAGACAATCCTACCAACAAACCGATTAGGTCAAAATCCAGTCTCAGGCTGGAATGTGTGCAACTGTGTGTGTTAGCCAGTGAGTACCATGCAGCCATGGATAGCCTGCTACTAATGCAGGAGCTCATTCCTAGAGTGCCTCACTGCTGCTTCTGCAGTGATAGGACCAACATATTTTCAGTTAGACCCTGTTAGTTTCAACAGCCTAATGCATTCATTATGAAAAATGCACTATTGCTCTTAATGATTTGCATTTATGATATGAAGGATGCACTCATATCAACTGATAGCAGAATCAGCATTGTTTAAAATAACAACATAATGAAAACTGTATTTTTCTGAGACATCAGCATTCATCCTCCATATGAATTCTTATTGAGAACACATCTGGAAATCGAAACATGTTCCACAGTAAACATGCTGAGAATATGTCCTGAATTTAGAATGTGGTCCATAACTGAGGTCACAGAATCAGCAGAAACTGCTAGAATGAGAAAATCAGTAGAATGAGCCTGGGCAAATAGATGTGTACTTCTCTGATCTCTCATTTCTCAATAGCACAGGATAGGTTCTCTGGCAGCAGGAGCCCTCTGTCCTCCAGAGGCTACTGTGCTGCCACTCAGCTGCAGGTCTAGCTGTCAAGAGGAAAGCATGCTATATTCAGGATCCTCCTCCATGTACCCTAATGGAAGCATTCTCCTCCTCATAGGATGGGAGGATGCCACATTGCATCACCCTGCTGACTCTGTCAGGTCACAATCTGGCTCACAATTAGGTGAAGTCTTGTGCAATTGACTCAGGCTATGTTCCAGGGCCAAACTACACTGAAACACCCAGACAACGTCGTGTAACGCAGAATGAGTTCCCTTCTAATTAAGGCTGCTGTAGGGAAATAGGCTCGTTGTGCAATATATCAGTTATACCAAAATTGTTTAAGTATTGTCTAAGAAGTCTGATTTTGTCAGCTCTTTGTGATGTGAGGGGATACAGATCAATCCTTGAATTCAGTACACGTTTCATCTAAGAGAGTTGGTACCAAAGAAGAAGAAAGGTAATTGCTTTCTCTGAACTATTACAAGTTGAAAACAAAGCTCTACTATTACTAAAAGCCTCGTACAAGGCTTTCTGCAAGTAAAGGCTGAAAGGAAGAGCTACTGAGTTCTTACAGTCAGCAGCTAGATGACTGACCTTATCTGAAGCCAGGATTCTGAAGGAAGCTATCACTTGCTCAGCCGTGTCCGTATCTGCTGTTTCTCTGGTCATGAAGTCAATGAAGGACTGGAAAGTGACGGTTCCTTGTCCATTGGGGTCAACCAGAGACATGATTCTAGCAAACTCAGCTTCGCCCTTTCAGAGAATCCAAAACAAACGAAAACACAAAAAAAAAACAACCAAAAAACAAAAAAAACCAGGAAGGTCACCGTAATATCAATCTCTGACAGCCCATACCTCTCATGAACCAATAAGGAGCAGTGGCTACAAACACTCTAAAGCACCTTACTGACTTCAGAACATAAACGTCACAGTTAGTGAAATCTGGGATCTTAAGTGACTACTCATCCTTTGTAAAATGGCCCTGGTGCTTTTGAAAAAAATATTATTTGTCCCAAATACATAGCATTTACCTTCAATTAACTTTTTCAACTTCTCCTCTTTCCCACTCTAATAATTGTTAAACTTGTTTTAACACTTCATTTCTCATCTCCCTCCTAAAATCAGTAATGTTCCCATTGTAATTAAGGTATTGCACAAGGAGGTGAAAAAATATCCCAGGAAGCCACAAGCAGCTTCATTGAACTGAGAACTAAGAAAAAAATACCAGACAGTTCAACTTACTCAGATCTTTCTGCTACAAAAAACAAACTGATATGAGTGGGGGAAATTATAAAATAAATAAATGAAAGAAATCAAATGCAATGCCCAAAGGTAGTTTGTGAGAATTAAAAGAATTTTGTACTGTCTAGTATTACATTTAACTTCCTTTTTAACCATTTGAAGGTGGAGGAAAAAAAAAACAACCAAGGAACTAGTACCTCTAGTGTAAATTGTATTATTAGTATTCTGTCAACCTAAATAAGCTTTAGTGTTGCTTTGGTTAATTTCACAAACTGTAAGCAATTGCCATTGTTTCTTAAAATTCATACCAAATCATAACCCATTGAAATCAAGCAAGCTCTGAAATCATCATGGTCCATCAGTCCATTCTTCCTCTATTGACCAAAATAACATAAGGAATATGGATGGGAAGGTTTGAAGCATCCACGGTCATTTTCAGAGATGAGGTTAGGCCATTGGGAAATTGGATCCAGTGTAAACAGTATTCATTGACATTGCCCAAGCAGGTCATCAGAATTATCATCAGTTTTAGAGAAGGAAGAAGTAACTAACATATCACACACAGGAAACAGACATTTTGAACACAAGAAGTAACATTAAGAAAAGTCAGGGGAGAGATCAGGGAGAACATAGGAATACACAGAGCACAACCAGAGAAGACAAAGAGAAAGGCAAGGAGAAAAATTTGTTACTAAACTAGTCAAAATCAGGAGATGCACAAACTGCCTCCCTGATATGCAATGTCTTTTGAAGGTCCTGCAAGTGATAGTGTAGTGAATATAAGTGTAGTTAAAAACAGCCTGAAATGTATCATTGACTAAAATACTCCACTCCAAGGCTAGGAAATGTACATGATAAAAGCTGTCTGCTGATATATGAGAAATAAATACAGAGATTTTCCTTTTTCTGACTACAGGCTACCAAGACCTGCACTATAACAAAGAAATGAACATACTGGCTTAAAGGGTGACACTTATAAGACTTACGAGGAGGTAACTGAAAGACTCAAAGTAAAAGGAGATTGCTAATTTCAAAGGCAGTAACTCACGTGCAGCATTCCTGACTTACAAATTGTATGATAGTAATAAGGTAAATAAACATCTCCTCTGTTTTGCAGTGTAATACAGTGGTTAAGAAAGAAACATATCATCCTAAATAAGGAGAGAACAGTACAGCACTTGTTTTGAGTCTGAGGAAAGGAAAATGGACAGAAGTCTGGATGCCGAAAGTTCTCCACAGCTGTCTCTTATCAATTAAAAGAAGCAGCCTGGAAAATGTTAGAAATGCAGTCAGAGAAATGTGGCTCCAACGTATGCTGAAAGAGAGTTCATTTAACTCAGTTGCCTTCCCAGGCACAGGATCTTCTCAAAGCATTGTGCTGTATACATTGGTGCTTAAATTCATAATAGAAAACTATTGCATTGACCTATCTGAAAACAGAATAACATCAGTTTCCTCTACCTGCAGGTCATTTCCAACCTGTCCTAGACTGATGAGGCAGGCTTTAAATTCATCAGAATGCAGATTGTCAGATTCATCCTAGCATCCCATAACACGTCATGCATTTGGAAGGTAAAAGAAAAGAAGGAAAAAAAAAAATCACAGACCAGGTTAGTTGGTTAGTAAAGAACATTCTACACTTTTATTAATAACCATATGCTTATAAACTTAATGGAAACGTAATGTTAATTTACTGCAATTAATTTCCTAAAACATGTGAAACTTTTGTAGTTTTGTGCTTTAGTTTTTTCCTTAGTGGAAGAGGAGCTTGATTTCAATTACAGTGTTAAAATCATGCCTCTTCTACTTTTTTAACGCTTTTGCTTATAAGGCAGTTTTTATTCTGCTGAACTACCGTTTGCTGCTTGCATTTTTTATTGCCATACAGTGTATCTGAGATGCAGTAAACAGATCACTGAGTCTGTTCCACTCTTATTCCACACTCAATCACTGTTACTTCTCTCTTGATCTGATATTACTTAGAAACTGAATGTGCATATGTAAAATAAAAGAACAACTGACTTATTGCCTAGATTCAAAAGAAATTTATACCTGACAACTTATTTTCAGTTAGTTAATGATCTATAAATTTTGCTTTGAAAACTGATTTTAAAGAGTCCCTATTAAATTCTAGGTTAAGTGGTCCCTAAAATCCTTTAATGGATTACTCATTGGAAAATGGTTTTTCCATTGTTTAGAAACCAACATTAAGTACTGAAATTATCATTGTAAAGCATTTAAATAATTGACTCGTTTATCTTTTCTTGTCAATACAAACTAAAACACTGAAATCTCACTTTGTTTTGTTATTAGTCCCCAGAGAACCTTTGCTTCTCCTGTGTGAATTATATGTGGCCTTATATAAAAAAGTGGGATTTTAAGTGAAAGTAATACATCTTCCACATGTGCTTCATTTTCATGAATATTAATTGACCTGTATAAGCTTGATCATGTGGTTCTTTTAATGGGAAGTTGTTTTTTTCTGTTAGTAAAATAAAGGGTGGCAGGATGCTCTTGTTCTGCATGCAGGACTCCTACTTAAAATCTGTAGTTTGCCAAAAATAGATAGTAGAATATATCAACAGCTGGTAGGATACTGCATGCAAAGCAGTTGCAGACATTTTATCCAATTTTTCTTAGAATCTACTAAATATCCTGAATCCGAAAAAGGATTCTACTTAAAAGACTTGAAAATCAGTGACTGATAATATAACTATTTCAATGTCCCAATTTGTCTGCATACCATTATTCAGCTATGCACCATTTTGAACACTTCTAAACTGTTGGGATTTAGCCATTGTGTTCCACTTTCTTTTTTTCCTCTAAGCAAACACATTAAGAGAAGAAATATACCAGCATCAGTAAAGATTTATATTCACACCTCCACCTAGACTGTGCCTTCAGGCATAGCCTCCAGCAAGGAGTTACCTTGCAGCAACACCCCCAGGAATAACTTCTGGGGCATCAGTCTTCAAATGAAAAGAGAAGATCCTAGAGGGCTGCCTCCTTACCACGAGGGAGATGATGGACTCACCATCTGACTTTAACAAGATGACTTTTAATGGCTTTTTGTACTAGCATAGCTGTGCTGGTGGATATACTGAAGGAAAAAGAAGCTCTTTCTGCCCTTATTATTCTTCAATGCATGGTGCCTCCTCTCTCAGTGTACTTTAGGGGTCAGGGGCATGTAGCCCCAAACAAGAACTTGCAAAATATTCAAGATGTAAAAGCCATTTAAAAAAATAACTCAGTTATCTTTCAAAGAACTAACAAGTATAGAAATAAGCCCCATGATTTATTATCAACTAAAAAAAAACACACATACATATTATTTGCTCGCTTTCCTGGAGAGGAAAAAAGGGCGTCCTTCCTCAGATTTATAATTTATAACTAAAGCAAGTTGTCTTTAGAAATACTCTATAAAAAACTGTTAGGTTTATGTGTACTAATATGGCTTCTTTACAATGGAGAAGGGAGTTTCTCTGCACAGTAGTATTTTGCTGACATCCTCAACACACTTTAAGACTGGAGAAATGCCACCATAGAAGTCAGAGCTATAGCATGCATAAAATGACTCTGTTCTGCTTATGTATTTAAAGCCTCCTGGTCAAGGACAGCATTAGTTTTTAAATTTTTTTCTGGCTATCCGTCAATATGAACTGCAGACTAATTGACTAATTCTCTCAGTGTATTTGTTAAACAACGTCAGGTATACATAAATGCTTCTATGAGCAACAGAGTTATTACATATACTGCTAAATGATTGCTTTTTTTTTTTTGTCTTACAGGGAGAGGTCAGTACTTTCATGTTAGTGCTTATGTTCAGCTTCATTCCTCTGAGGTGATAAAGACCCCCCCCCCAAAAAAAAAAAAAAAAATCAATTCCTGCCCTCTCTATCCAATTTCCGAGTTTAGAGTCTTCATTATTTTGTGCACTATGAAGTATCCCTGAACCATTCCAGGTTTTCTTAATTCACTGACAATAAATTTTCAAGTGTGCAATGGAACAAGGAGGATACAAAAATGAAAAACAAGCCTGCTCCTCTCAGACATCTTTGCTCAGTGTCTCTTTCTAGCCTGTGCAGATCACGTCATATCTGCCCTTTAAATTACAGTGCAATTTAATAAGTATAAGCTTCTCTTTTTTTAGTGTTTCTGTTGTCTGTCCTTTACAGAAAGCTTGAAGGCCAAGTGGTTTCAGACCTTATTTTTTTTTTCCTTTCTTAAACTTACATTATCCTTTTAAGAATGTAGTTGTTCTACTACGACAGCACAGAAGTCCTCCTGGATTAATTTCTAATCTCTGTAGGGAGGAGCATACTAGGGGGAACATATGCAAAGCATCCTTCTCTTAATGTGTACCTTATTTTTAAGGCCTTTGGATTATGTCTGACATGAGGGCAGGTGAGGTGTGCAGCTAAACTTACAGTTCAGGCCCAGGTTGCTGAGGTTGTAATACTAATGTGTAATTTATCCAGACCTGGTACTCTGCTTTTAATCACTCCAATTTCTCAGTCATCTGCTCCAGTACATTAGGGAAACCATTTAATATATTTCTTTCCACCCAAGAAAGCTACTTCTGCTTCTGTAATGGTATCTTCAGCTTCCTCAGCTTATACAAAAAGGAATTATGCACTAGAATCACAGTAAGATTCTCCATAAAATCCATCCCCTATTCCTCTGTGGCTAACCTTTTCTATAGTTGTGTGTTTCATCAAAAAAGCAGAGTCGTGAGAACAGTTAAGAATATTCTAAAATATATTTAAATGATCACTGTCAGTGTCCAACACACATCAAGTATGGGTAACCATTTTGGATAAAGCTGGACAAGATATTGGTAGGAAAGAAAAAATAACAGCATTTTCTACATCCTGAAATAATTTGAAGGAGCTGACTCATGATAACAATGCAAGTTAGGGGTTAATCACAATCTGATAAGTACAGGAATCTACACTGAAATAAAGAGAGCGGCCCAGTGTTGGATTATGGTAATCTTTTCTCAGCATCTGAAATGTGGACTGAGTTTTGAAGGTGGTGTTCCTGTGAGTGCAGAGCTAGTAGATCTAACTCATGTAAAAATGTTGTAAATGTTGTAAGGTTGTAAATATTTTGTTAATTGATCTTTATAACCATTTTTTAAATAGCCCATTGTTACTGCACTAGCAGATTTTTAAGATTATATATGGAATGGAAAAAGGCTTGCTTTTAGGAACAATGAATACTGCTAGATGAGAAAAAGTAGGAGTACTGTACCCTGTCGAAGTGATTGAACGATGCTCTGAAATCATTCATTTGCTCCTGGGTGATACCCTTGGCATCTCTTGTGAGGATCTGAGTCTCAACCTCATTGATAGTTCGAGCAATGGTAGTAAGTAGGAGCTCCCATCCAACACGGATATGCTGTGAGAGAGAAAAGACTGATTCATTAAATAGTCAAACACATTTTTCTGAAACTATGAAAAATACAGTCAGCAAAAACCCGCTCCAAATACTTATGTGATGCCTTATCCATACCACTAACTATACATTATAACTCAGGTCATTAAAAAGTCTTCAGGAAAATATGGAACTGGTTTCTAAATGGGTACTTTTTTCTTTTTTTTTTTTCTTTTTTTTTTTTCTTTTTTTTTTTTTTTAAACTATAAGCAAGTGTTCCCTGAGTTTATTCTGGATGACAAGACTTGGACTTGAGTGCTGTTACTTTCTGTCATCTCACTTTAGTTAGAGGCTGTATTCAAACAACATTGTTTTCTGCATTACCAATTTCAGACATTTTCCAACATTCTGTAAATAATCTCACAAGTTATTTTGCAAACATGGAAAGCATTCTTTAGAACAGAGAAGCCATCTCCCATGAGTGTGTATAACAACTGTCCTCCTACACATCAGCAGCACTGGGACCTTCACTGGTAAACTGTAAATTCTCATAGCAAATTAGTAAAGATGAAACATTGCTTTGTCACAGAAAACAAACAAACAAACAAAAAAAAGTAAAAAAAAAAAAAAAAATCCATTACTGTACTACTGCTTATCTGAAGGAAAACAAGTCATGATGAGCTGTATTTTCATTTGAACTTTGTGTTTGCAGTGAACCAGAGGAGAAATCAAGCCAATTACATTCCACTAACAAGCACTTAACTCCTGTTCCACCTTTACCAGACCCAGGAAGGGCTCTTAAAAATATCTTATGTCTCAGTCTTGCATTAGGCCATTCTCATCAGCATGCGTGACAAAAAAGTTTCACAGTATTATCAGAAAGTCTGCCAAATCTCATCCTTCATAGCCATGTCTTTGGATCAGGGAATGCAGTTGTAAGGAAGAAGACAGTAAAACGAGCTAACAAGTACAAAACAGAGGAAATGCTTACCTCCATAGTATAGTTGGTGTGTTTGTTGTCAAACACCAAGGCTTCTTGTATAAGCTGATGATCTCCTTCCAGTTTATCAATGTTGTGTTTATAGTTAATGATATTTTGCTCATATTGCTTCAGCTGATTCATCTGGTCCTCCAAAGGCCCTGTCATTTCAATAGAGCTGCGGGCAATTTCCTACAAAGAGACACCCCCCCACCACGCAAAATGTAAGCTTCAGATTTTCTAATTTGACTTGCATTCACAAAAATACTTAATATTTTCAGACTAAGAAGCAAAAGTAATAAAATCTTCATACAGAGATGACAAACTTTACTGTAGAAAGCTCATTTTTAAAAAAAAAAAACGTGACTCGTTTATTTCTGGAATTAATATTGAGTTGCTGGTGATCCCAATATTCTTCTGTAAAGAGCAGAGGCAAAATAGCTGTTTAGTCATATTTTTTTTCAAAGCTACATATCCTACTAACCATCAAAGGTGCCACTCATACAATGTTACAGCTCTAAGAATCAACAGGTACTAAATTCTTTGTGATTAAACAGCTGGCAAACTATCACGGACATTGCTGATGCCTTGTACATACCACAAAGATAACAAATGATAAAATACTTTATTCATCAGCTTCTGCATGAGTGTCTGATACTCACTTCCATCTTGGTCTGGATCCATGGCCCAATGACGTTGGCCTGAGCAGCAAACTGGCGACGCAGGCGCTCATTGGCATGCTGGCGGGCTAGTTCTTCCTGCAAGGATTGATCCCTCTGAGGTACCAGCTGTTTCACCTGTTACAATGAGAAAGCATTAAGTGTGAGCATTCATGACTGAATACTTCTAAAACAAGTAGAACAAATAAGCCCTACAGTTATTAATTTTTCTTATTGACCTGAAGATTAACATCAGAGCAAGCCAGAAAAACTATCACTGTTACATTTACCTCTGTGCTAACATAAGAAATTGCTCCCATGGTCTTGGGCATCCTGACTAGAGAGACTCAATTTCTCACCTCTGCCAAGACTCAACTTCAGGAGAACTGTTTAATTTGAACTGCTGCTAGAGCAGATATTTTGCTTTTCTGTGGAAGCACAGAAAAAATTTGATCTCTAAGGAACAGTTCCAAGAATAAACAGTGGAAAATATTTCATTCAATCAGAGCCATTAAGACAGGATAATGAGGCACCCTCTACCCCTCACGTATACCTGAAGATGTCTCATATGTTGCAAATACTTTTTTGATTTACCCTTTTAGACTTCCCTGGGACATTCTGAATTTAGTCCTTATTGCGTGATATTTATAACCCACAAAGATCACGTCTTTGTCCACATAAGTTTAGGTATTTTGTAAATTCATATATTCTACAAAATCATTTACCTTTAGCAAATGATCTGCCTTGCTTCCTAAGGAAATAAAGTTTCTCTTTAATCCCTGTCCTGTAATTTTTTAAGGTAACAGCCCATTTCAGTTTTACTGGACAAAACATTAATGGTCCCAAAGATGCTAGATTTTTACAGCTTTTGTGAAAAGCAGAAACTGGGTAGAAGAGACACGTGAACTACTGCTTATACTGAGAAAAAGAATTCAGCCATTTTCTGTTGTTCTGGCAAGCACCATTGGCCTACCCACTGCCCAAACATCTCTGTACCTAGCACCAACACATTTTTCTTGCCTCATCAAGAAGGCAGAAGAAGTCATAAGTAATACTGAGTGACGGGAGCAGGAAACATTATGAAGTGAGCCCAGCAAACAAATGGGGAGCATACTGTAGGAAGTTCCAAGTAATTTAGGAGTGGAATAGTAAGAAATACTACAAGGAAACTGTAAAGGAATATACAGAATACCAACAGTACGAATAGCATGAGTGGAGTTGGAGTGAGGTACAGGACAAATTACAGAAAGACAGCTTATTTAACACTACTGATCACAGAGTTCATTTAGATGCAGATGAAACCTGTGAAAGTTTTGTTGTTGACACCAATAGAAACAGTCCCTACAATTGGGTTCTTGTTCTCAAATGTAACTACAAATATGATTGAAGAAAACTACAGTAGGCTACAGAACCAGAAATCTATGTATGAAATTACTGAAACATTTCAGAATATATTATGAAAGCTAACATCTTTCTACTACTTCTTTCATCCCAACATCAGCTTCTCATACAATCTATTACTTTCAATTTACTTTATGGATGCAAATTCTGTTTAATTGCATTTAATATGCCTCTAGTGTAATAAGTGATAACTTATCGTGCTGCAACCTCTTTCCACTGTCCACATTAGTAAACATATTTAAGAGGAAATATTTAATTTGTTCCAGTTCCATCAGTTTTAAAACAGAAATAGGTTCATTTTGGCATCCGATGATCTAGAAAAATTGACAGATTTATTGTTAAGTTCTCTGAATAGTCTCAGATTCCTAAACCAAAATACTGTTACGTCATTCTTTTATGCATTTAGCATACATTACCTTTTCCCACTTGGTACGAATCTCTTCCACAGTAACAGTGCTGTAAGGATTGCTTGCACTTATTCTCATGCTGTAACTCTGAATAACTTTTTCAACTTCATTCTGGATTGACAATATGGCCTGTCTTTCACCGTCTGCCTCTGGCAAAGTAGCTTTAAATTGATCATGTGCAGAGATTAAACTCTAAAATCAGAAACAGAGAGGGAGAGCATGAAAACTCTAATTTTCCTTCCAGCATCTGAAAGGTCTGCTGTAAAGAAGCACAGCTCCTTCCCTCAGACTCCCAGACATCCTGTCTACATGTATCTGTATGTACATGAAATAATACACGTAGATATATTTATGAAAAACCCACCATTAACTTTATCAAGACTACTGGTTCTTCTACAATTTTAGAAAACTTTCATGCCCACCAAGAAATAACTTTATTTATTATAGATATCATCTATCACAATGTAAATGTCAGGATAGAATATCCTGCCTATGTTGTACTCTCCAAGAAAGAAAAATTTCATTTCTTGTCTTTCTTATGACTAAGACAAAAAAAGAAAAAAGACAACCATTTACCTGAATTTCCTCTATGCTGTGAACAATAAACATGTCCTGTAGGTCTTCCATAGCACCTTCCATCCAGTTGTTGAAAGGAGCAGCTCTTTTGGCAAACTCCAGGTGAAGCTGATCAATCGTTTCAAGCAATTTCTCCGTCCTCTGTATAGGTTGGAAAAGGTAAATTCCTTTTTATTAAAGGCAAGAATTAATTCTATACTAATATTCATTCCTATGAACAAAGTCATGCTTCATTTTTTTCAAAAGCAAATGATTATATAATTGAGTGATTTCACCACATGCTTTATGCCAATAGTACTAAAGATACTTTCATATCAGTCATTAAAAGGGATGCATACCTTTCAAGGCCAGCAGATGAAATGACTTGTTTTTGATACTGTAATCTGTCTGCAAATCAATTTAAATCTGCTAATCTTGCTTTAGTCATTTCTTTTAAGTATAAATTCATCCTCTTAGCAAAACTGATCATTGTTATATTGTTTACCTCCAGTGCCTCTCTCCTTTTTTGAGTAAGTGTTCCCAAGCTGTCCCATTGGTCACATATCTTTTGGCATCGATCATTGACACTTGCAGCATCGTGATAGTCCAGTTCACTAAGAGAAAGTGAAGACAAAAGTCTGAGCAGCTTTCTGAGACACAGGAACAGTTGCGCATGCCATTCCACTGCCCTTCAGTAATTCTTCTCCTCTATTTTTATGCAATATTTCTCCTCCAGGTAAGCAAATGTTGCATGTAGACATGTACATTTTAAACATGTCACATTTCAAGAAGCACAGCACAGAAACAGAATCAACCTCTCCTTCAGTCTGAGGCTTTATCAAGTTCCTGTAGATTGGTAGTGTTAAACTAAATGGCCTGAAATCTATTAGCTTTATTTTAAATAATCCAGTGATTCTTTCCAGACTAACACATTGTGTAGCTATAAGGGCTGCTCCAAAAGCAATGCCTTCTATTTTATTCTGTTGGTCCACAATGTCAGCAGCAGATGTTGGTGGTAGACAGCAGAAATTGAACCTTCCTGCCAACATTCCATTACATGTTGTTGCTGTGTGACAGATGGCACCAGAGGGGCAGTCTGACAGAACGTGTCTGACATGGAAGTGGGTATGAAGCAAAGGTGTGGAACTGAATTCCTGAATGCAGAAAAAAACGTTGCACCCATTGACATTCACTGATACTTGCTGAGTATTGATAGAGACCAAACAGTGGATGTGAGCACAATGAGGCAGTGGGTGATGCATTTCAGGTATGGTAATACCAACAGTGGGTCACCTCCACTGGTGCAGATTTTTACAAGTGTGTTGTGCAGACTCTTATTCATCACTGGTGAAAATGCACAGCTAATGATGGTGATTATGTTGAAAAATAGTGTTTTGTAGCTGAGAATTTGCTCTATTAGATAGTGTTATTATGCTCTTTGTACCTGTTGTAGTTTTCATGGGAATAAATAGGAGGCATTACTTTCAGAGCGACCTATGCATTTAACAGAGAAACAGATCTCAGCTTGTGTTCAAGGCATAATCCACCTTAAACAGGGGCTGCCCAGCTCTGGAGCGCAGGAAACAATTTTCATCTTTCTCTCACACACTAGAACTGTTTAGGTACAGGAATCTCCAGAGTCAGGTTTGCTGCCAGTGCAAATTAGTCCACCCAAAAGTCACGTGGCAGTTAGCACTGCTTTTTCAACTACTTAATACACTTTTATTATCCTGACAGAAAACTACTTACTCTGCCGCCTGCAATAACTTTTCAAGCTCTGTCAGGAGGTTCTACACCATTTCAAACAGTATTTTGGGTCTCAGTGACAGATAATCCGCATGGTTCTGCTGTAGCCATCATGACCATAATAAAATATGCATTAGGCACTTCAGAAGCTCATTTTTATTAGTGTGTCATCATCCACTGAATTTAGCTCTTGGCTGCTCCTTGAGGACCTTTTGCACAGTACTAAGCATTGCAGAGATTGTGATTAAGTGACCATATGGCAATATGAAGCTAAGATTTACTCTAAGGCTTGAACAAGATGTTAAATGCAGATATAATTTGTTCTATCCTTTTGAATGTCCTTCTCTAGGCAAGTGGCAAGAGGAGTGTTCAGATTGCTTCCTCCACTAACTTAGAGAATCAGAGGCAGTTTTCCTCTATGAAGGTACACCATAGGCCAGGGACAGTGCTTATCCTTTTCCCTTTAACTTTGGTAGGAACAATATGGTTAGGGATAAAGCTGAGAAATACCTGGATCATTTTGTCTAAAAGAGGCTTCAGATATGCTGAAATCAATTGATCTTTGAAAGCAAGAAATGATCAAAACAAGTGAAAATAGAATACCACAGCAACTAAAAAAACCTCAAAACTGCAAAAAAATCCCTTTATCTATATGGAGAGAGCTGCCCACAAGGACTAAACACACTACACAAGGACTCCTTAAATACTTGCTTCCTCCTCTGGAGCAAGTCTTTCTGTTAGCCTTCCAGGAATTCAATACAAACCATGTATTTGTTAAGAAATTTTAAGTCAGGAGCTTGGATATTTACATAAAACAGGCTATGACATTTTATTGCTAGAACTTTTTAAGATGGAAGTTATTTTTCACATTTTAGCATATTGAGGCCGTTAGGTGATGATCCTGTGTGAGCTGTGAGCTCACTAAGTGGATGGGATGTGGAGATTTGTGCATTGAAGCTGTGAAGACACTGGATTTCTTACTTATTACCATTTTTTTTCTTATCAAGTATAAACAATGCACATGTCCTACAGCACTTCCAAGAGAACAGCCTATTTAATCATTTGAGATCTACAGCCTTCGGAATTTAAAAATCTTGAAACTATTTTTATTTCAATCTTACCTTTAACAAATTAAAAATTTAGTCAGATTTTGTCCAGATTCAGAGAAGCATTTAAGTATGAGCTCATTTTACGAATCATGATAGTGTCACAAAAATAACCTGCTGAGCACCATGCTTTAGCACTGCTTCATAACCAGGCTCATGTTATAATATCATGCGCGTAAGCACAATTTGAGCCCAGGTTTCCAGAAGCAAAAAGACTCTTCAAAACAACTACAGATAGTTGTCTTTGTGGCTGAAAATAAGTTGCTACACTAGAAGTGATGGATATTCTAAAAATTATCTTGATTATTGAAAACATTGAAACGAGCACACAAGACCATAGGTGAATTCAGCATTTCATATTATGACTCACTCTAGTTCTGTTTAGCATTTGCAATGTCATCAATGGCAAGTCCCATTTTAAAAACCCCTATCTCTTTTTTTCCGGCCTTGTATACAGTGCCAACCGAGTCTTTCCATACTTCACCGACAAGGATTTCCAATTCTATACAGGCTAGAACACATAATAGTCCTATAGCAGCATCATGGCTGGAATTACCTGCTTCACACACACACACACCAATCAACAAACTTTTAGCAACTTTATCTCATGGTTGACTTAACTGCTGCAGCAGAGTACCAGTGCAGATAAAAAAATGCTGTAAGTAACTGCTGTGGTTCAAGATCACACAGCAATTATTCAGTTTCAAATAGTAACATTAGGCAGACAAGAGATGGCTAAAGCAAAACACTGAGGTGTACTGACTTGTAATTTAGACTCAGATGATGATTCCTGTAAGGGTCTGATCCAGTGACCAAAAACAAACAAACAAACAAACAAACCAACAATAAGATACCCATGCTGACTTAATTAGGCTTTGGATAAGGTGCCAATGCATATTCCTTTAGCATTCAATTATTGCTCAACATTTCAATGAAAAAAATATGACTGGAAAAAGAAATTAGTTTTTCTCCATAATTTCAATGGCTCTCTGAAGAACTGTGCTGTGGATAAATAATTTAAATCAATGTTTAAACAGAAGCTGTCCATTTGCTTGCAGCCAAGAATAAAACTTGACATTTATAACCTTTCATTCAGTATTCTCCATAAGCAGTAAGTCTTACTGAGCTACAAAGTCTCAGGGACTAACCAGTCCTGAATATTGAAAATACTGTACTGATAGCTGTATTGTATGGACTAGAGAAGACATCAAAGTAGAGCATCTTAAAAGCAGTAGGTTTCCAGCACCTTTGGCGCCAAGGGCACAGATATCTTGTTTAACTTCATACAGCAAATTACTGAAACAACTGAGAAGAGACAACCCTAAAATAGACAGGATACAGTGTTCACTGGCCTCAGCAAAGGTAAAGGACACAGGGTTCAAAATGCTGGTAAGCAGATGCTGTGCTACGTATACTACATTCACAAAATTTTGATCATTTGCAAAGCTAATGCTTAATTAACAATGATTAGGTGTTTCAGAAACATTCGCTAGCATAAAAGGAACAAATAACTTTAGAGCACAGCTGAGTACTAGCTGTTTTGTCTATTCAAGGAATCAAGAAACTGAAACTTGGAGGCTTGAAGCCACAAGGAGGAGTCTGGGAATTTTATGCTGGTTCCTCTTTCAACCACTAACACACATTTGTTCCTGTTGACTTCGCAGATTTGTGCTGTGGGTGAGCAATGAATTTAATTGTGTGCCAGATGTTAAGATCAGGAGCAGTGCTACTGATTTACAGTACAAGACCTTTGCAGTTAACTGTGTAAGATTACAAAATCAAATGTCCTTAGCTTGGTGCACAAATGAAAATGACTTTACCAGAATGGAGACATCATTATCTAACACTACATTCGTGCCAGTGTGGGCAGAGCTTTGCTGACAAAATTGTGCTGCCCCTGTGAATTAACAGCTTTTCTGCAAACAAAAACAGGCTTACTGATAAAGACAGAATCTAGCTACAGTAACTTCACCAACACTCAAGGCTTCTCTTGCCACAAAGTATCTATCAGGCACGGGCCTTGGCTTTTCACACCCCTGAACAACCTAGCTGATGTCAATATAGCTAAATACGTTGTGGAATTGTTCTCAGCTTTGTTCTCTGGACATAGAATGCTGAGTGAGGAGGAAAGGTTGTGTGTTTGCTTGCCTCGGAGTATACAAGAGACACTTAAATCTTCAGAGATGTCATTGCATGACCCAAGACCGATACAGAAAGGATATCAAGTCTTTTCAAAGGACCAATATACCCATGGGAAAATACCAGATATTAAATTGAAGATGCTTGATCTGTAATTTGTCTAACTGCTATTATTTTCTAAGTTTATAATTTATAAGCAGTACCTCTCTCAGCAGACCATACGAACTAAGAAACAGACACCTCCAGCATTCCCATGAACACACAATGGTCTCATTAGTAGAAAGAAAAGATTATTTTCAAATTGAATTTGAAAATGCTTGTTTTCAAATATTTTCGGTCAGTTGCACGTCTATATTTGGTTGGGAGTAGAGGGGAGATGAGGGAAAGGTCTCAGTGACCAGCTCAGATAATATACTTATGAAGCTATCTCTGGAATTCTTACGTTAGTACCTATGACACTATCAAATTCATTGGAAAGAGTTTATCACAAAGTTAAATGTCAGCAGCTGCAAGCCTTTAAATGGAACATACTTCAGCTCCTGGGCAATGGCAGCGATCTGTTCCACCCTGTCCTGGTGAGCAGCCAAATCGCTCTCAAAAGCCTCATGTTTCCTTAACATGGCACGGACTTCTGTCAGAGATGCAGATTCATAATCCTTCTGAAGTAAGATCTGCTCTTTGCCTGAAACAGGAAATTAAATTATTGGTCTGTTTTTACTAATTCATTGGTTAGAACAACAGTAAATTCAGTCAACTTCTTTTAGCTGAGGCACGGTCAAAAGTACATGTATAAGATGAGTGGCAATTTGTCAGCCTAACAGTATTAATTAGGAAAGTAAAATATTTTTAAAGATCTCTCAGTAATCCCTTGATTCTTGCACAAGATGATTATATGTCTAAAATAGCTAGTATTGCATTACTTGAGAAACTGGCATAAAGTGGTATATTAGCAAAAACTAAGGATCTAAACTATTCTGACAAATCTTTTAGAGTGTATCACTGATTTTCAAAATCAGAAATCACACTGCTACACTCAGCTTCATTCCTGCTAAGGAACTGTTACTCTTTTTCATGTTCTGCTTTTCAATTCATTATTAATTTCAGCACTTTCCTGCCAAAATTAGATTAGAGACACACTGCTCTATCTTGTATCAATTACTGAATTTTAAGTGGAAAATGCCAACATAGCTGCAAGAGAAGCATAAACGAAATCAGAAACTGAAATATTGCTCCTCAGTAACTCCTGTGTTGGACAATAATCTATACAGACAGCCTGTACAACTGCATCTCACCATATGACATTACATAGCTCTGCAGATTCTAGAGCCAGAAGGGACTATTGTTTCACTTGCTACGCACATGCTTATTTGAATTTTTCCCTGTATAGTAGCCATACCACGTCAACAAGAGTAAAACATCCTCAGAAAATAGGCTCACAGGGCTGATAAACACTGTGGTTTCTTTTCTAGTATCTGTTTGGTAACTTTTTACTATTATGCATGCTTCTAACAATTGTGTTATTGGATAGCCTCAGTTTAACTTTCACAGTGTGAATAGACTGTAGCTGGAAAAAGCCAAACGTGTGGCAGAAACAGGAAAATGGTTGTCAGGGCCAAAAAAAAAAAAAAAAAAAAGGGATGATAGAGTGTCACTATGCTTAATGGCATTATGTTGGTGCTGTAAAATAGATGGTCCTGTAGCCGTTACAACTACATCTAAGGTTAGGCCATCTTTAAAAAAGAAAGTCACACATGGGATATAATCCAGGGTATGGAGCAAAGCAACAGTGAGTCCATTATTATGTAGTTTACGTGAACTATTAAAAATCAAGATGGCCGAATTATTACCAACCAGAAGAGCTGTTAGTAATTCCACATTTAGATCCCAGTTTATTTCTGAGTTTAAAATGAAGAACTGAATTTCTGTACTCACTGCACTCCTGGCTGGATCACTGGTGTACAAATACATAGGAATGCATTACCAGTATGAGCCCTTATTCATTTCTTGGATAGTCTTATTAGGTTTGACTCACTCCCTTAGTAGAAAAAAGTATGATTTTCACAGTTATATTTCACTAGCAACATGCCTACAAATGACCATGACTGTAGGAAAGAGAACCTCCAATTTTATCTGTTAGCATTTTACTTTTCTAAAGCTGTCCAAGCTAATTTCTAGAGTGCCCCTGGCTGGCAAACATCGCTGACAGTTCAACCTTGAAGGTTAAAATGAGAAAAATGTTAGAAGCCATCTCTGCTTACCATATGCCCACTGCTCGTGAGTGGAAGCCTTCTGTCTAAATTTCTCAGCCAAATGTTCAAGCCTTTCCAGTCTTCGTATTTCATTCAGCAGCCACTCTTCATAGCCTTTCTCAGCTTGTTCAAGTCTCTGCCAAGCGCCAGCAATATCCTGTCAAGAGAATATATGAGAAATAGTGAATTAAACTACACTCTCTTTTTTATCCAAATTTGCAGATTTCTGACTCGCTCACAGTTTTCCTCCAAAAAGAGAAGTCAGGATGTCCAGATTTTGCCAAATACCAGAATCATAGAAAATGTCAGTCGTCAGGCAGCTCTGGAGATCAGATAGTCCAAACAACTGCACCTGACAAAAGCATCCATACCAAGTGAGCTCAGGATCATGAAAGAATCCTCTACACAAATGGTTTTCAAGCAAAATTGTTTGTTCAGTGCCTTCATGATACATTAGTTTTACCTCTCATGTTCCAAGTACATGTTCTTTTATGATGTAGTTGCCTGTTGTCAGAATTTATGTGCTGTGCTCTCAGAAGCAGACAATAACAAAACAATTAGTATCAAGATTTGATCCTTATTTTATCTGGAATACAAATTCATTTCATTTTCTGTGGTGTACAAAGTTTTGTGATTTTCCTTAGAAGCTCAAAGGCATGAGAAGAAAACTGAAGTGAGACACCCCTTATTTTCTGAGTATGCAGCATGGCAGCCACCCTTCGCAAGTAATGCAACCATCTGTTTGTAAAATCTAAGCAACAAAAGTACAGTGCTAAAACAGAGTATAGATACAGGTTTGCTTTATTCCTTTATCCCACAAGAAATGTTCTGACCCACAGTAAGACTATTATTATCTTCGGAAAAAAAAACTAGAAGCATTTTTTGAGCCATAGCTGTTTCTCTGTGTCTGATGAGCAAAAGTTTTGCTTAAATAAAAAAAAAAAAAAAAAAAAGTAGTTAAGTAAACTAACATGCCCAAAGATGGCTCTGTCTCAAGACAGTTTGCTATAGAGGAAAGTTTCCAAAGAGCGAGGAGCATATGTAAGGGATAGAAAGATTTTAGAATGAAAGGGGATGTTTAAGAGAGCGGTTTGATATTGACAGAGCACAGCAAACCAAAGGTCCTGAGGATGGCTCAAAATGGTACTTCAGTCCTTCATAGTGAAATTTCTGTGAGAATGTCGGTAGAAAGGAGAATGGAATATTGATGCCTCCTTTACTTACTGAAACCATTTTTCCCTCCGACGGCATGAAAGCTGGTCGATTGCTGATTCTCAGTTTTGTCTGCAGGGTGTTAAAATTGATCTCCAGCTGACATTTCTCTTGAACTTTGGGAGGTTTGTGTTTGCGGCGGTAGTCCCGGAAATCCTCTAATTTCTTCTGCATGGCCTGCATTGTTTTTTCTGGGGTCCTGTTTTCCAGCCAAGGAATTGTCCTGCGAATCCATTCTAAAAGCTTTCAAATCAACACAAACAGTTGAAATTAAAGCAATGGAAGAGCAATCAAAAAAACCAGATGATATTGAATGCATGAATTTCAATCATGTTTGCTCCATCTTACTATTGTTAACTTCAGTTGTAGTCAGGGCCCTAATGACAAGTAAGAACAACATTTTCTCAACAGAACAATAACCCTAACTTTCTCAGATATTCTAGATACTGCTGGAAATACTTTGACTTCAGGGTCTGTACATGGACATGCATGTAAGGCGACTTCAGTTAATTAAAACACAAGTTACCTGGTATCTCTAGCTGCTTTCAAAAGTATTGGTATTGATGTATTGAAGTAGTCATACTTCATAAATCAGAATGGACATCAATCAAGTAACTCAAGACATGTAAATATTTTTATGCAGACCGATTCAGCACTACTCTCTTTGTATCTATCATCTCTGTATGTTTTTGAAGGTTGCACATTATGAAGGAGCTCTCATTTGTGCATTATGTATCTGCAGTCCTGAGACAATAAATGTGCCATATACCAAGAATAGAGAAGAGGAACTGATTCATAAAGTCTGCAGTATATACTTTGTGAAGAAAATTTATATTACCTGTATTTTGAAAAAAAGCAATCTTCTGGTAATAATCAGAAACAATGCAAGCAGTGTGCCTTGATCATTCATTGGCTGCCTGTGTTCACAGGTGTTTTGTGAACACCCTGAGACCCTGTCTGGGTGCACCTAGCAGTACATAAAGCCAAGGGGCATGCTTGGAGTAAAAGAATACTGTGTGTTCCATGTATAGTGAAGGAGAAGCTATCATTGGAGATTACAGAGACACCAAGATTAGCCCTAAAGCAGTCTGACAACAGACCCCAAAACACCCTTTTTGGCACAAAAAAAAAAAAAAAAAAAACAAGACAAAAAAACAAGACTGAATAACTTGCTGGAGGTCACATAGGAAATCTGTGGCAAAGGAATGACCTGATATTTGACATTTTGGGGATACTGAACTTGGAATCCAATACAACTATGAGATTCACCTTCATGATATTTTCACTTTCAGTCTTGCAGACAGTGTGTGAATCTTTCAGCTTTTGGTATTTCATCAATGTAATTATCACCATGTTACAGAAAAGGCTGTCTTTACCTCACTTGCAAGTCTCTCATACTCTTCCATCAACCTCTCATTTTCTTGATTCACAGCAAGCACCTTACAGATCCGGTTTGCTGCAGTCTCAGCCTATAAAATATAGCAAATAAACAGGACATACTTGTAAATATTCTGAGAAAGGTACAGGCTTGGAGAAAGAAAGAGAACATGGCAGCTGCAAATAAAAATCACATTGGTTTATATAGTTGTTGATTTATGCTTCTAGGTTACCCTCCTTCTGTACTCACAGACTCTGGTGGTCTTAAATGAGGCATAGAAGTCACTGAGCATACAATGAAGCCTTACTATACAAGGAGGTATTTCACACTGTCATTATAGTTGTTTAATAAATACTTTACTTTCAAAAGCAACTTAGGGCATTCTTCAAGTTACCTTATTAGGTTAATTTTTTAAAGCACGCTAAAAAGACACTTTGTTTGTTAGCTACACAGGAAACACTGGATGCAAGTCAGGGGACCCACATGCGCATACATCCTTGAAAGCAGATACAACTTAACTACTGACAACAAATCTTTTCTTGGCTCCTGCCAAATTTATTTCTGAAAGCACTGTAGCTCTGCCATATTTAAAATTGACATAATAGTTCCACATCACAAATTTATACGAATATTTATATGAATCTGAAGTATATCCAGTCAACTAAGAATAGTATTTGGAAGCATTCTTTTCTATTAATAGCAAAACCTGCACAACCCAGATGGAAGAGTGCACAACAGCACTGGTGCAGGAAGCCTACCAGATAGGAAGGGAAATTCAGCTCAGAGGAAGAAGGAAAAATATCAACTACTTTAAGGCATTTTTTTCTCTATGTAAGTTGAATTGTGTTCATTTGTAGTCTAGAAATGTAAGAAATAGAGCAGTCAGAAATGCAACATTTGTTATAGTATCATCCCATATGATAGATCTCCTGTTGATATTCTTGTTTCTTATACCAACACTTTGGTCTACAAATAATTCTACTGGCTTCAGTAGGAGCCAGGTGCAAATACTGCTGTGGACAACTTCCGTGCCTCTCCACATCTCCAGGTAGCCCTAAGTTACTACTTAGCATGAGTAAGTAAGTCCAAGAATACTCTGTCTCCAAAAGTCAAACATGCTTTTATGCAGCAAAAGCATAAGATGTTGATGTAGCAACAAACCATTCCATTTCACAGTAACTTCAAATACTTTTTCTGAAACAGTCTTTACAATCACTGAACAAAGACACTCAACATTAAAAATCACAAATTTCTATCAGAATAAAATGGTTCAACTTGCTGCACAACATTTAAAACACATTCAGAGTTTGTTAAAAACAAATATTAGTGCTCAAGTAATACTTACAATTGTTAATTAAAACAACAAAATACAAAATTAATGAGTTTGGGTTTTTTGAGGGGGGGTTGGTTTTTTGTTTCGTTATAAATATAAACCAGTGGAAAAGTTGAACAAGCAAAAACACAGCAACCTGAAGGAACAATCAATTAATACCTGCTCTGCTCCAGCAAAAGCATGGTAGAAGCAGGACACATATGTCATGATAGCTCTCTCATCAGGTTTGGGAGTGTTCACAATATCTATATTATGGGGGAGAAATGAAAACAAAAAACAAAAAAAAGGTACAAGGAGTAGAAGATAGGGAGAATAAATAAAAGCACAAAATAGTTGTCACTGTTAATGTTTTCTTGAACATAGAGTACATAGATGTACTGTGGAAAATATACAAAGCTGAAATAAATGAGCATAGATAGGAAAAAAAATCCATACTCTAGAAATTCAACACAACTTCTTACCAAAAATGTGAAATTTTTGATCCTGCAGTACTGTCACAGAGGAAACTACCTTAATTTTAGAAAGACTATCTGCATAATAATTGGTATGAACACTTCATTGACTAACACAGAGAAAAGACAAGCTAGATTTTGATCTGGGGAGATCTCCTCTGGAAGCTACAAATGGATCAGTTTCAGTTTTAACTTTAACATTATGTGTCAGTACTCCTTATATTACTGTTGCCTAAAATATATCCAACTCTCTGATTTGCCTTGCCTTTTCTACTTGTACTTCTTCTCATCAAAACATGATTCCAGGTCTTCTGAGATGTCTGTATATTTCCCTGTTTTGTATAGTAGTGGTTTTATGCCGCTGATTGATTGCACTTACCATTGAGTATTTAATATTTTAAAAAACAACCCTGAAAGCATAAGAAAAGGATTCATTTTCTGAGCATCGGTTATGAAGATTTTGACATACGCAACAAGAATAATATCCAGCAGGCAAAAAAAGATGCAATTCTGCTATTGGAATAGCTTTATCACTATGATCTTATTTTCTTCTAACATTTTAAAGTGCTTCTAATCAAAGCACAAAAGTTCAATCAAAGGACATTGAATAACGTCCTACCAGCTCCAGTGATCAGATGCCAAAAACCTACTGGATATTATCAGTAAATATATGGGAATAAGAAAGAGGAAAGTTTGTATCTACAGAACAAATGGACAGACTACCACTGGCTCTACAGAGACAGTGTCTCACAGAGAAAAGCAGGCAACAGGAAATGAGCTTGGATCTAAGATGCTGTCCTAAGAACTAGTGAAGGAAAGATCAAAAGAGGGAAAACAAAAATTGCTGAAAGAAATGACAAAGAAGGTTGAGGGTGAGATCTGATCTATCTACAACCTCACCTTCTGAGCACCAGCAAATGCATGGTAGTAACAGGAAACATAAGTCATAATGGTTCTTTCATCAGGTCTGGCAGTGTTTACTACATCTGTGTAGAGAGAAAAGGGTTTACTGCTCAGAAACTCTTACGAGGTACTTCCATTAGATTACGCTGATGATGCCAGCTCAGTGCTACAAGGATTAAAAATATCATCCTTCATCCTGACTCAGTTTACTGACTTCATTGTGAAGATACCTAAGCTTTAGGAATCAAAAATGGAAAACATATTAGGCTCTTTGAAATGGTATAGCATCTGAAGATGGAGACTATTCAGAAAGGTATTGCTAGTACCTGTTTTGGGGAAACTTCTAGAGATGGCATGGCTCATAGATCTACTTGATTCAGTTTCGCTGCCACTTCATCTAAATCAAAACAGTAATTCTACTACGAGAAATACAGCCATCAACAGTCACAAAGTAAGAGTATGTACTATATTAGCAAAGGATCCTTGTGACTGACAAAGTACTGATGCATACTGGAAACCTGCAGAATTCTTGCAGTTCAGAAATACATTTTGTGCTAAGAAAAGCTTGGATAGTAAACATGTTGCTATTCCTGAGCCAGTCTGTCTCTATTGTTAACAGTATAAATCACATAAGAGTTTGGCTTTGTTGACTGATAGCTTTACCCCTATCAGAGCAGGGAAGATTAAAAGCATAGACTGTGACTGAGGCATGAACGCATTAGTAAAAAATGACATTTTTGATTACTTGACAAAGTCAGAAAAAGGTGGTTTTACAATTATAGTTGAATGATGCTTATGCAAACTGCAGATTTCTGCCACTGTAGAAGTGAGAAGATAGTAGTGTGTCAAGATCCGTACATGAGATGACAATTTTAATAATAACAAGAGATTTTCTAACTTCAGGACCAATCTATTTACTGGTTTGAATCACTCTCACATGGTTCAGAAGAAAACATATTTCCATTGAAAATACAACAATAAAAATCGATGACATATACTCATGAGTGTGCTAGAAGAAGCATGATTTAATTCCCCCCCAAATAACTATCAAGAATAAAACAAAGGGCTAGAATACATAGGAATTCTGATGCATGTGAGGGTGGGGAAAAGAGGGGCAGGAATTTTTCCTGCATCTAACATCAAGAGAAAAATAAGTGAAAGGAGAATGACAGTAGATATTCAATAGTAAGGAGTTATCATGTCCATTTATTCTTTGCACAGTATTTCAGAATAAAATAATTAAGTGGAGGTTCAAAGGAGAATTGCAATCAAATTAAAACCAATTGTGCAGGTGAAAGTAAGAAAAATATTCAATTACTATGTTACAAACTGGGACTTCAAACTCATCTTGCATTGGCCTAACTTTTCTGCCAACGACTTTAAGGGAAGCCAACAAGATGAGTTTGTGTGTTTTGCATAATTGCCATGCTATCACCACTCTACTGTCAAGTCACCAGAAGCAGTCTCTTGGAGAAGAATGCTTTGAACTAGTGTAAGCAAATTCCAGTATTGTTGCACTATTTTTTGCCAGGAGTACAAAAGGCTGGTTATCTTGAAGAAATTCAGGAAACATTAATATGTATCTTCTTGTTATTTGTAGACAGATTGAAAGATTATTGGAGAAAACAAATAATGAAGCTGTTCATTAAAAGTGATTCCTGCAAAAAGTTTATACTTAAATAAATGTCCAAATGTCAAGTGCAAAGATGGACTTGATGGATGGACCACTGACTTGATAAGGAACTAGCTGGATGGTTGCACTCAGAGAGCTGTGGTCAATGGCACAATGTCTAATTTGGAGATCAGTGATGAGTGGCATTCCTCAGGGATTGGTGCTGGGACCAGTGTTATTTAACATGTTAGTAGGTGACACAGACAGTGGGATTGAGTGCACCCTTAGCAAATTTGCAGGTGACACTAAGCTGAATGGTGCAGTTGACACGCTAGAGGGAAGCAATGCTATCCAGAGGGACCTGGACAGGCATAAGAGGTGGGCCCATGCCAACCTCATGAAGTTCAACAAAGCCAAGTGCAAGGCCCTGCATCTGAGTGGGAGCAATCCCAAGCACAGATACAGGTTGGGTAGAGAACGGCCTGAGAGCAGCCCTGAGGAGAAGGATTTGCGAGTGCCAGTTGATGAAAAACTCAACAAGAGCCGCAAGTATGCAGCCCAGGAGACCATCTGTATCCTGGGCTGCATCAAGACAAGAGTGAGACCCCACGTGGAGATCTGGGGCATCCAGAACTGGTGCTCCCAACACAAGAAGGTCATGAAGCTGTTGAAGCAGATCCAGAGGAGGGCCACAAAAATGATCAGAGGGCTGGAGCACCTCCCCTACAAGGACAGGCTGAGAGAGTTGGGGCTCTTCAGCCTGGAGAAGAGAAGGCTCCAAGGAGACTTTATAGCAGTCTTCCGCTACCTTCAGGAAAGCTGGGGAGGGACTATTTGTAAGGGAAGGAGGAAACAGGATGAGAGGAAATGGTTTTGAAGTGGAAGAGAGTAGATTTAGACTAGATATTAGGTAGAAATTCTTTACTGTAAGGGTTGTGAGACACTGGGACAGGTTGCCTGGAGAGGTTTGTGGATGCTCTCTTCCTGGAAGCATTCAAAGCCAGGCTGGATGGGGTTTTGATCAACTTGGTCTAGAGAGAGGCGTCTCTGCCTATAGTAGGAGGTTGGGAACTGGATGATCTTAAAGGTCCCTTCCAACCCAAACCATTATATGACTCTAAATATGAAGAAAACAAGCTTGCCTCAACCAAGCTCTTTCACAGAAGTGATGTTATCAGTAGTAAATTTTCAAAGGTACTTCTATTTCTTCCTGGTCTTCTCATTTGGAAATGTAAATATGCTTTAAGCTGCTAACAGTTGTATTATCTTTATTAATCATAGATTATACTTTCTTATAGGCAAGGGTTATCTTTTCGTTCTATATTTGAACCTCATTTGTCAGTGGAACCACATGCTGAACTTGGGGTCCAAAGTGCTATAATAAGTACAAACACAGCAGAAGAAAAAGACATTATGAAAAAGTGCACGGAGCTATCTAGTATACGTAGAACAAGAAGGAAAAGACTTTGAAAGCAAAGCAGAAAAGTTTCTCTACGACAATTTATGTGGGAAAGAATGTTGAAAATTTACTAGAAACAAAACAACACAAGTTTTATGATCTCTTATAAGTAATGCAAACTTCACTATAGCTCTCACCTTCTGCATCCAACATCTTAGGGATATCCAAATGTTTTTCAGCAATTTCCATTGCAAGGTTGATATTTCCTATGGGGTCATCCTATATGGAAAAAGAAAACACAACAAGTCAAAAATACAGGTTTTTCTTTGAAGCAAGTCTACTGCAGTAGGTGCACTAAAACTTACTCTGTTTTTCCCAATTGTTAATGGGAATCACAGCTACTGTTCTACAAAAAGGAGAGTATGGGTTTATGGCCCTTTGATCTATCTATTACTGTTCTCTCAAAGGTAAATATTAATAAGACACTAGAACTCTCTAATTCTATATACATTCCAATACATTTTGAAGGGAAACGTAGATAATATATGCAATGTATAGTCATAAAGAGCTAATTCTGAATGAAGCATTGCAGTAAAACATACAGTCAAGGTCTCTGCTCCAGTAGGGTATACTAGACTGTTCATCAGAAAATTAGTTCATCACACTTTGACACTTAGTAAACACTGTATTACAGTGATAAAAATTCTATTGAGATAACAATTTCTCTGCTGGTCCAGTGTATGCTTGGAAAAAGGGAACCACAAACAGAACAACTACCCAAAAAGAGCAAAATCTCCTAGTTTTGACTTGGATAACCAAATTTGAAAGTAACGTGTGTAAGCCGAATCTTAGAGCTGTTGATAATCAAGAGTTTTCTCTTGTTTAGAGATTTTGATTTTGTTTTTTGAAAGAAAAAGAAAGGAAGCAGTGAGGAAAATTCAGTCAAACAGCACATATTTCATTTCTTACACTACAGACAACAATTGCTGACAACAGAAGACCATGTCAGATGAGGGACGCTATTAAGTCAAGCTTCTAATATCAGCTTGGAGCAAAAATATCCTATGTGAAATCACAGTTCATGACATTAATGCTATTATTATTTTCGAGTATTCAAAAACTGCTAAATGATCACAGCTACTATGAACAATGTCAACATCTACAGAGGTAGTTCAGAAAGACAGGGCAGAGAAACAAAACTGGAGAAGCTGGAGGGGACTGGAAAAAAGTTAACAAGTTTGCTGCAGTGAACTTACAGGGCTTCTGTCTGAATACAATCATTCCCTGTAAAAGGATCTATACTCAAGCATGCTTCTTTTGTTACTTTGAAATGATCTTATTAAGATTAGTTATAACGCAATGGGAGTAATTATTAGATTTCATGTATATATGCCAGATACCATAAGTAATAACACCCTCACAGCTTGGTTATAGTGGAACACAGACTCTAATCATAAGTTCTCACTTCATCATCATTTAGCAGTTTTGAGCATCACTGACATAAGAAGAAATCTGGACAATATTTTAAACCCATTAACTTATTTCTGCTGTTACACCAGACACTACGCGTAATACAACATTTACTAAATGTGTGTACAAAAATTCTTACTGAAATTAAATGGGAAGAAATACACTAAATCTGAGACCTACTAACTTTATTAAGACACTTTGCTTATGGATGGGTGATGGGCACCTCCTATTGTGCCTGGTACTACGTCCATGAGTAAATGCTGCTCCATAAAGAAATAATTTTATTTACTATCAGCAGATTCTGAAGATCCCAATCACCCATACTTTTAAACAAAACTATAAGCCACAGTAACTAAAAGTCTCTGCTACAACTAGAGAAATACCTTATCTAACTTGTCATAGTCAAGAAGATCGGGCCTGTGTCTATGAATAAGGGCGTTGAAAGCAAGGCCATCTTTCCAGCTATAAATTCACACAAAGCACATTGGTGAGAAAAATAAAAGACAGCATGCAAGAGATAAGAAACCAAGAAACAGGGCACCAAGACAGCTGTTAATGTAACCAAAAGGAGTAGTCAGTCAAATGCAGCCAGGTCAGAAAAGCAAAATCTATTTTAGGATTTTTCTGCATGTGCTTTACGTGCCAGAGCTCAGCCTCAATTTGAAACCTGACCTGTTCTTATTTTGGAAGCCTCTAAAAGGGAAATATTAATGCTGAAGCAGATCTCCTTATGAGCTATTCCCTTTTCTTAGCACTCATATGTAGACAAGTTTTACCAAGAAGTTTTTTGTACTGTGTTCCATTTTTCTTAGCACAAACGCGATCAGACTGACCTGTTTGTGCCATGCAGAGACAGGTAGCTTAGCTATTCCATGCATCTGTCCATCCACACGAAAGTATGCATATAGAATTAGAGAATAATCTGGTACTGACAGTTTATTGTTTGTCCTTTCGTTCAGGTCTGCAGTTGTCTTAACAACTGCCTAAATTAAACACTGTGTGTTTAGTTAATTTTCACTAAAATTTGAGGATCCCAGCATAAATTTAACATATAATAAAGCAAAGTTTTCAAGTTGTCTTACTTCTTTCTGTCATCGTTTGCCTCACAAAAGGCTTTCTCATAAGAGCTGATTCCACTAGTAAAATGAATCTATCATAGAGGGGTACAGAATGAAAGATATTATCTATGATTTACCAATTTCTCTCACCAACTAGAAGTGGCACTCAACAAATTAAATCCATGATTAAGCTTTCTATTTCACTGTTATTTACAAAAGAATCCAAAACACGTTCATTTTGGAGGAAGAAAAACATTTGAATTTATTGAGATCTAACACTAAATGTCAACACTGTCTTTTCAATTTTTATTCTTAGGAATACCCAGAAATGACCCAGAAATTCCAAGATGATTACTTGATTTTCATTATTCAGACTTAAACCAAAGTAGTTTGTATCTTTTAGAACAGATACATTTTTCCACGTAACAAAATGGATCTGTAATCCCCATGTGATGCTACCCAAATAAGTTATGGTATCTAACTCTTCTGCACTTTCCGGATGGGTAGTTAGAAGTATAATGACATATTAAGTAAGAACTGGTGGATATTTTCTATGTAATCCTAACAATTGTATATTTAGGGTAGAGTTTGTTCTGATCGATCTTACAATCAATTATCTTGTCCTTGATTGCTCTGCAATCTACACAGTTATTTACTGTGGACACATAGCAGAATGGCCTGTACTATGCATCAAATGTGAATTGAGGATTCCGGTGTATTTGATTAAACATCCTTACAGCATGCCATAAAAGACAAACTACCTGGCTGCTGAGAAATGCATTTTCTGCAATTAGTACTGAAGTAATTGTAATGGAAAAGAAAGAAAGATCAAGAGACTGTCATAGCCTCCTTTCCTCCAAATAATATTTTTTGGAGCGAGTATAGAAAATTAGTTAGAATTAGTATGCTTGTCATTTAGAAAACATAGCGAGCAAACCAGAAATGAGCCAAATCACTGCAGGACAACATGCTCTACCATCCAGACTGTTGACCTTATTTAGCTTGGAGTAGTCAATAAGATCAGGTCGGTGTCTGTGGATAAGTGCACATAATCCAAGGCCATCTTTCCAGCTTTACAACAGAAAAAAAAATAGAATGGAAGAAAAGTAATGAATAGTCATAGCACTTTACAGTTTCATCCTTGCTCAAGGCTTAAAATCAAGCAGGAATCCCCCTCTTGAGTCCTGACAATTACATTCTGTCAACTCCCATTCCTCTGAGCTTTCGTCACTGTACACTTTCTCCCAGAGCACATGATTTATTCTGTTGTCTATACACACTTAGCAATTCCATAACACTTTCTAGGCAGTATACGTTATATACAACAGACCCTGATTTTAATTGCTTAAATTAAGGAACTTTCCAGGATAGCTCAAAGTATACATTCAAGAAAGTGCAGTCACCCATTACACTTACAGCACATGTGTGCAAAAATAAGAAGGGAACAAACCTTCAATTTACTTGAATTTGTTTAAGTAATTGACTTTTTCTATGTCAGTTATTGCAGATAATTTTAATGACACAACTACACTATGCTCCTAAAAAGTATGGAGTAAAAAATTATCCTAGTTTATTTAAAACATTTTACAGACATGACAGGTTAGGCCTGAGGTCTGACACTTCATTGTGACTTCATGTCCACTACCTTTCAAGGAAAGAATAGGAAATGAATAGTGCTGTGAATAACATCTATGTGGAAAGATTATGAGAGGTTCCTTTCAGCTAGAAGCAATTACTCTGAAAGATACTTTTTACTGTAAAGCACTTGTATTAGAGAAAAAAAACAAACAAATATCAGTCAAGGTACTTCTGTTCGACATTGTTTCACCACAACATGTGTCAGAACCAGCACATGTATTGATAAAAACTAAGATTCTAGTACTGTAATTTATACTACTCCCTGCATCCACATAAAGCTTTACTAAAATATACTGCTATCCTTTCAAAATAACACATTGCAAATTTGAGATTTCTCAAGGCAATATAGGGACTGTACATCAAATTCTTTCATCTGCAGATGCACGTGTGAACTGTATCTTCTCTTCCAGTATATGTGCTCCTGGAGCTTCACAAGAAGAATGAATTCTAAAAACACAAATCGTTGTGATACAGAGCCCTTGTGAGTACTCCAGAGGTTTCAGGGAATGTAAAATCCCATGGTTAAAAAGTGCAAATGGCAAATCACATCTTTTTATTAGGTAGATCACCAACACACCTACAGGAACCAGTTGAATGAAATCCCAAAAGCAAGTAGCCTATGAATGGTCTGGAGATCCCCTTGCAGGCCATACTAAACGTGCAGAACCACAGGCCAGAGCTTTTGCAGCTTACGTAATGATCCTGATGATAAAAATGAACATATTTAAAGTGCTACTGCTGGGTAGTTACCAACTTCCTTGGCTCCTTATTTATTATTGTTTTAAAAAATAATGAATTCATCAAAATGAAATATCTGTGTGCTCAACACATTTTTGCCAACACCAGTCTTACCTAGCAGTGGCTCTCTTGAAAGTAATCATTTGTTAAACCATTATGCAGTGGTACTTAGATACTCTCATATGCAAGGAACTCTAACAGCATTAGTCTAATAGCATTGTATGCTCATTCTGTGTGGAGTAGGGACTTTTTTTTTTTTTAAATAAACATAACCAGGGCATATATTAATAAACATAAACCAGGGTAAATAACACAGAAGGCTAACCAAAATAAGACTCTGAATACAGATCATAAGAATTTGAAGAAAAGCCAGGTTAACAGTGAAGAGTGAAATTCTGCTGCCAAATATCCCTACACAATTGTGGAGAAAAAAACCTGACCTAATACATGTAAGATTGCTTCTAACCTCTTAAAATAATGAAAATTTACCTGAGATGGAAGTTCTGAATGTTCACATTTCTGTAAGGAGCAGTTTTTCTTTGACACCACAGCAGCAGCCCTTCTTTGGCAGAGGTCTCTGTAACAGACACCAGAGTATAAGAAGATGTAAAAAGAGCTCAAGTAATTCTTTTCTTCTCATCTTAAAGGTGGACATTCATCAAAAACAGGTTAGCATAAACTAACATTTAAACCTAAGAGATTGTCATGCAAATGGATTAAAGATGCTTCATTAGGACAGAGACAACAGCTCAACTGGAACAACTCAGAGTCCTAGCCTGCATAATATTTATGGAATATTAGGAGTTTAAGAAATTACATTAATTGGATAACAGAACGTATACTTGGAGAAAAACACTGAATACAAATGCAATAGAACTAAACATACCAGATTCAGTTGGCACCTACATGAAATATGCTGTGCTCTCAATCCATTACCTTATGCAAAGGAATAAATTTTGAAAAAATTATCCTCATTATTTGCATGCTGTAGGCATCTGAGTCAATGAGACTTCTAAGTCTGCAGTTAAAATTCGACAAATTATAGGCAGGACAGCACACTAAACTTGAATTGGCATCCTTCTGTTGAAAACTGAGATTAATTTCTAGAAATCTAGACTTTTTATGGGCTAGACTCGTTTTAAAGAATACTGTAACAACAACACACTTTTTAGAGACAGCTACCAAGTGGAAGTTAAGAAAAAAACCCAAAGCAGAGGAGAAAAAACATGACAGAAAGATACAATGTAATCAGATATGTTTGCAAAAAAGGGTAGAAATGTGCAGGTCTAGAAAAGCATTTTGGAAATAGGACAGCCGCACAGAGTACAGCATTTTGTATTTGTATTTTGTATTTTTGTATTTGTATTATTGTATTTTTGTATTTGTATTTTGTCATAAGGTGGACATATCACCTTCTGTGAAAAAATAATTAATTCTTAAAACATTCATCTCACTTGTATACAATCTATTTAATAATATTTTAAAACAAATTTCCTGTTTAACATAGTAGCATTACACCTACCTTCCACTGAAATATCTTGAATGGCAAAACGAAGGATGATGGTCCAGATCATACCCAGTGTCATTTTCACATTGCCGTCAACAATTTCTAAGGTGGAAAAGAAAAAATATTATTTTTAAATGCTTTTTTTTTTCTCTTAAACATATGTATCTAATAAATATATTTCCACCATAATTTATTGCCTACACAGAGTTCACCTGGATTCATTTTTCAACAGACTCGTGTTTCTGCTACCCTGACAGTAGGACTGAAGATTACTCAGGTTATGGCCCCTTTATCTCTCCCCTGCCGGTTCTCCAGCAATATCTCAGAAAGTTACCTTTCAGATTGACTTCTATAGATATTGCCTAAGGGGAAATATATATTTAAAGCTTAAATACTATCAGTCTTGCTGTTTTCACATATGAAAAAACTGGGAAAAAGAAATGCTTTTACACCAAATTGTAACTACAGAACATTAGCAATTTGAAGTAGAAAACAAGAATTTGTCAGAGAGACAGAAATTTTTTAACGACTTAAAAATCTATAACTCAGATTACCTCTTTAATAAATAAATAAAATGATATTCACAAGTCCACCAATATTGCTTTGGCCCTTTTGAAAATTCTACCCCTTGGTACCAGCACAGGCTAGATATGAAGAACAGTTCAATGGACACAGCACCTCCAGAGACTAAGATATATGGCTTCCTGCCAAGCAGTTAAGAAACATATCCATGAGACTGTAGATGTCTTACAACACTGACGTCTATTCACGTTTAATATCTTAAACATAAAATGAGATTTTTTTTAACCTCTTTTTCTCACAACAGCAGGGTTGAGTGCATCCTCAGCAAGATGACATTAAGCTGAATGGTGCAGTTGACATGCTAGAGGGAAGCAATGCTATCCAGAGGGACCTGGACAGGCATAAGAGGTGGGCCCACGCCAACCTCATGAAGTTCAACAAAGCCAAGTGCAAAGTCCTGTATCTGGGTTGAGGCAATCTCAGGCGCAGACACAGGTTGGGTGGAGAATGGCTTGAGAGCAGCCCAAGGAGGATTTGGGAGTGCTGGTAGATGAAAGACTCAACATGAGTTGACAACGATTTGCAGCCCAGGAGGCCAAATCAAGTGAAGCATGACCAGGGACTTGAGGGAGATGATTCTTCCTATAGCAGGGGGATTGGAACCAGATGATCTTAAAGGCACCTTCCAACCCAAACATTCTATGATTCTATTACTTTTGGGTTTTCAACTAGTTTCAAGACTGCTAGAGTATACGGGGCGCTAGCAATATATTTTTTCCAACCCTTCTCACAGATACAGGGGCAACCCTTCAGCCAATCAGAATCCAGTGCTCCTACATTGTCTGTAATACTAATAGCAAAACCACTTCAGTTTTTCAACTACAAAAATTACACCACCAAAACACTTAAGTGTGTTGATAACATGAAATCAGTCTGCAAACTTGAAAGAACACAGTGGACTATAAGGAGAGTCCAGCACTAGAAGGGAAGGAGGTAGGAGGATGGCAGAGAGGAGCTGCAGGCTGTCTTTCCAGTCACACCAAATGAGCAGTGGGGCAGGAAAGGCACCAGCTGCTCCCTTGCCTGAAAGCCACCTCCAGGCCCGCACAAGAAGTAGAGCAGCTGTGGCTGCCTGTGGGCCCACTGATGTTCTCCCGGGGAGGGAACAGAAAGAATTTGCTCAGTCTAACATGGAATGTCAAAAGAGGTGCCAGAAGGAACTGAACTCACTTTGCTACTTTAAAGTTGCCTGAATCCAGGGACAACTTTCACAGAACAAAACAGCTGGTGGCCCTAGGACTTGAGATACACACCAATTTGTACTAGTATGCAACAGAAGCTGTCATTTGAACCTATGGAATTAACAAATGTGATGGGAGACATCTTACCCATCACATTTATGCTTTGTTAGTGTGATAACTCCACTTTATAAATGAATGGCTAGTTTTTTCTGTTTTCCTGTTAGGGTTCTACATTTATTTTCCAGAATTCTAAGCTGACTTTGCCTGTCTTCCATGCACTATTACTATCACATTTGCTTTGAAAGACCTCAAGTGTCTTCAAATCTCAAAACATAATTAGGGCTCATAGCTACTTCTTTATCCCCCTCAACCTTGTGGTCGGCTTAATCTTTTTTTGGGGGGCCGATTTTAAATGCCAGTTGGTCCTCTTGGGTCTATGTTCTCTCCACTCAGTATTTCATATAATAAAACTTGATCTGCAGCAGGTTTAGATATAAAACTTTCATGCTCTGGAGATTAAAAAGTATGCCAGATATCCATGTAACTCAGAGAATGCCAAAACTGATGGGTGTACACAAGCCCACATGGCTCATGCCATATTGATGGGCAGTATGTTAAGAGGTTGAGATGTTCATAACAATACACACTGCTCAAGAAATCTGCATTCTGCCTCTTTACTGGCATTACTTTCCACCCTCATACTATAATGAGTGTCCAGCCAATAATGCTGAAAAAACTAACAAAATAAAAAAGAGGTGGAATGTGTTTTAAATCCAGATCAGGTTACTGATCCAATCCCCAGGACAGCCACAAAAACAGTTGTCAGCCCAAGTGCTAGGGTAGGGCAGAGAAGTGTGGGAGCAAGAATGCAAGACAAAGGGGAGTAGGGACTATTTAAACAGGTACTGGTGCCAGAGGTCCTACACCATGAAACTATATCCAGTCAAATGCAAGACTAGATTGCTGCATCAGCACAGCACTGTGCTTTGGAAGACTTTAGCAGAAAGGATGCGATAAACTTAATAGGGCACTAAGCCTGTCTCGGCCAAAGCTAGCTTTGTGTTCAGCCTGTTTAGAGTAGGAGGGGAAGGCACACGAATCTATCTGCTCCTGCCCACACAGATGTAATCTAATGTGCGTTAGTAGCCATACTTGAGATAGTGCAATGTCTTACAATGACAGGTTTCTCTTCACTTGCAAGCTGTACAACAGTAACACTGTATTTTTCTCCTGTGCTTCCATGCAAGGTTTTAAAATAGTTTTAAAATATTAATGAATGAAGCTTTACTTGTAATCCTCTCTTGTTACGGATTGAGAATTCCACAAACAGGCAATAAGAGCCTGCAGCACAGCCTTGAACATCCCCTTAATCTTTCCCCTTATCGTAGCAGCAAGAAATACTAAAGAATGGATGGACACCACCTTACAGAGTATCTGTAATGGGTTACTGCTCCTTGTCACTTCTCCCTTCCAGAGAGAATTATCTATTTCGACAGTCTAAATTCACACCAGATGGTTCCTAGGGGAGCAGCAGGATTAGCTTAAACTTTTTTAATGGCTGATCTGGGAAAACACAGGTGCTTTGTTTTCAGATGATGCAGGAAGCGCTCACGTGCCGCTCTCTATTTTGAGCACCCCGCCAAAAGCAATAATTAAGCAAAATGATGGATGTAGGAGAGCAGAGGGTGTGCCTGCTACACTCAGCAACAGATATGAATTGATGCATCTCAGTTTATACGCTACAACTTTGCCTGAAGAATTCAGGAGTGAAAATACTACCTTACTGGGCAAACTGTGATCAGAGAAGGACCACAAGGTCACCTTCTGTTACACTCTGGCTTTATGTCAGAAAGAGCTGGAGTCCCAGCACAACAAGACAGAAACTACCATTCTTTTGCTCTGTACTCTGTATTCTCAGTATTTCCACACTGACTAGACAAGCTCCTGTATGTTTGATTTTCATTTCTACACATAAACTCTCTCTTCAGTACCTTCTGCTTAATGCCATGTCATTCTTAAAACACCCTTTACCACAGAGAGTTAGGGGAGAGGCGTTTTTTCCATTCCACTTCATTTAACTGAGCTGCCCCTGGCTACCTGCACAATTGATGGAGGGGGACAAGGACTTCTGAAATTCATTAGAGCTCTTCTGAGATCTGAAATGATTTTGGGAATTGCCTTTCTTTTCCCACTGTACTATTTTTATTGGGATAGAGTTAATTTTCTTTATAGTATCTTGAATGGTACTTTTTGTTTCAGATTTGTAATGAAAATTGTATTGATAACATAAACCATAGAATGATTTGGGTTGGAAGGGACCTTAAAGATTCCCACAGAGTCAAGGTCTTTTCTATTTCTCACACTCCTCTGCCAGCAAGGAGGCTGAAGGTGCACAAAAAGTTGGCAGAGAACACAAGGGTCACAGCCAAGACAGCTGATCCCAGCATGCCATATGGTGGCATGTTCAAACAATAAAAGTTACAGGGAAAGGAGAAGTAAGCAGAGACATTCAGAGTTATGGCATTTGCCTTCCCAAGTAACTATTATGCTCTGCTTTCCTGGAAATAGCTAAACATTTGCTTACCAATGGAAAGTAGTGAACAAATTCCTTATTTTGCTCTGCTTGCATACGCAGCTTTCACTTTGTCTGTTAAACAGTTGCCATCACAACCCACCGAGTTTTCTCACATTTGTCTTGTTGATTCTCTTCCCCATCTTATTGGTTGGAGCAAGAGAGTGTGGGTGCATGGAACTTGGCTGACCACTATGAATTTAAACTACAACACCCACTAACGATAATAGTCCCAAAAATGTTCCTGTTATGTGTCTGAAAATAGATGGCATGGTTTTGGACTCAGATGGCTCACACACTTCAGACACCAACGAATTAAGGGTGAGTCCAGACAGTCCAAATGCTCTGCCCTGAGAAATTCCATTTCTTTCGGAGTTTGGAGCACTGGATCCAAAGCCATCGCATATTTACAGAGGGCTAGGTAAATCTGTTGTAGAATCATCGAATGCTAGTAGATTCTTCCATTGCTTTTACAGATGCATGGACCAGATAATTCTACAGCCATAAAGAACACAGCCAGCAGCCCGACAGGTGATCTTCCCTATCTTCATGAGGCCACATTTGGATTCCTGTGTCCAATTCTGGGTTCCCCGGTTCAAAGAAGACAGGGATCTCCCAGAAGGAGACCAACAGAGGGCCACAAAGGTGATAAAAGACCTGGAGCACCTCCCATATGAGGAAAGGGGAAAAAAAAGAATGAGAGGGGACCTAATTAATGTTCAGAAATATCTAAAGGGAGGTGGGAGGCAAACGGAAGAGGCCAGACTCTTCTTGGTGGTACACTGATAGAACAAGGAGTAATAGCTTAAAACTTGAAAATAGGAAGTTCTGTACTAACATGAGAAAGAATTTCCTTAAGGTAAGGGTGACGGAGCACTGGCAAAGAGTGGTGATGGGTTCTCCTATGGAGACACTGAAGACCCACCTGGACGCCTATCAGAGTGACCTACTGTAAAGAACCTCCTTTAGCAGGGAGTTGGACTCAATCTCTTGAGGTCCTTTCCAATCCCCGCAATTCTGTGCTTTGTATTTTTTTATAACATCATTTGAATCTCATGGAAGGCCTAGGTTCACTTGCAGTCAGAGCCTGTCTTCCTTTGCTCAGTTTACATTTACCTGAATTTAGCTAGCTACGTGTTTTTATATATATAATATTTGCACAGCAGAACATCAACGAAGTAACAACTTTAACAAATTCCACCCCACTTTATTCTTATGTTCAGTCTTTCTGGATGCTAGAATTTCTTTTGATTACTCCCTTAACTCTACATTTGAATCTTAGAACCATACCTCCCATGCACACAATGAAATGGAAATAAGTCCCAGCTCCTAATGGTAAAAAAAGATCTTAGATTCAATAAAGCATACTCCAGAATCCAACCTTCTCTTTCTAACATTTATTTTTAATAACATATAGGAAAAAAAGTAAAGCTCCAAATGAACAAACTGTCATTTAAACACCCACTGAAACAATTACAGACAAGTCAATTTAACTTCAAAGAGAAACAAATCTTAGAGCACAATCATGCCCCTACTCTCCTCAGGTATCCACACATTTCCATCTCTTGTTCTTTCAGAGATATAAGCCAGCCATGAGTACCTAAGGGCTGTTTGAGTCACACATAGATAGCTAGCACAATTTGAACCAGGGTCTCTAACGAGACTTCTGCAATGTGAGTGCTTAAAACCTAAGTTAGGCCCACCGTCAAGCTCTATTACATACCTTCTGCACCAATGGACACAAGTTTCACTCCTTTGCTGGCGATGTAATCCAGAGCTTTGTTGACATTAGCAATTTTATGGAAGCGCATTTTCCCTCTGTCTGGTTTCGGTAGCCTTTCCCCTACAGGATAACAAAATGAATGTGCTTTTTGTTATATGCACTTGGCTACAGACACTCAAGTGAGTGGAACTCAAGAACGAGCGTGATTTGAACACTGAAAACCATCTGGAAAGCACGCAAGTGATTACTGTGTCTAGAACTCTATTTCAGTGTTACCATCTACTTCACAGTACTTCATCAATCAGAGGGAAGGATATTCTCACCACCATTACTTGCCTAACTGTAAAGAAAACCTGGACTCTATCCAGAGTAGCCATAGCATCCTCTCAAATGTGACCAAGATTGATAGCTTTTAACTAATTAACTTAACTGCCATGAATCCTTATTCAGGGCAGTAGATCAGCCAATTTCAGAATATAAATTGACATGCTTGGTTGAATTTACATTCTTAGATGACCATGAAAACCAATTATTTTAGAAAATATGACTCTCCATTTCACAAAAAACAATCATTTTAAAACCTTCTCCACCAAAATCTCATAAAAAAAAAAAACTTGTTTCCCTTCTTCACTCTCATTGTGTACCTAGAACATGAGCTATGCCCATCCCATTCAGAAGTATTTTCAGTGTACCTTGGTGACTGCATCTCTGAACAATGGAGAAGCAAATGTGGCAAACTTAAACCAACCTGAAATAACTTCCAAGAGCAGCATCAGTTTGAGGCCATTTCTGAAGTCCTCCTCAATGTTCTCAATCTGTGTGCCTGCTTTCCTGAGGTGGGAATTGCACCAAGCTGTAAACGTCTGTAAAAGTAAATAAAAACAAATAAATAATTAAAACCTTATTGACATCACATTTTCCAAAACAATTGCTAAGCCATTTGAGTAAATAATGAACAGAAACTTCCATAGCTGTCTAAGAAATCTGGATGTACAACACCCAATCATTTTATACGTCACTGAGTTCAAAATTCTTATCAGATTTTCATAGAATTACCAAGGTTGGAAAAGACCTCCAAGATCATCTAGTTCAACCATACACCTACCACCAATATTTCCCTACTGAATCACGTTCCTTAGTACAACACTTCAAGAGACAGTGACTCAACCACCTCCCTGGTCAATCCATTCCAGCACCTGACCACTCTTTCAGAAAATACATTTTTCCTAACATCCAACCTGAATCTCCTCTGGCACACCCTGAGGCCATTCCCTCTAGTCCTATTGCTACTTACATGGGAGAAAAGGACAACTCCCATTTCATTACAACTTCCATTTTCAGGGAGTCGTAGAGAGTGATAAAGGTCTCCCCTAACCATACCAAACAATCCCAGTTCCCTCAGCCACACTTGGTAAGACTTGTGCTCTAGTTCCTACATCAGCTTTCTTGCCCTTCTCTGGACAAGCTCCAGGGCCTCAGTGTCTCTCTTGCAGTGAGGTGCCACAAACTGAACACAGTACTCGAGGTACAGTGTCACCAGAGCTACACAGGGGGATGATCACTTTCCTGCTCTTGCTGGCTGCACTGTTTCTAACACAAGCCAGGATGCCGTGTGATCTCACCCAAGATGATCTGTTCTATAAGCTTCCCTGGCACCTCGGTCAGGCTGATAGGCCTGTAGTTTCCTGCATCCTCCTTATGATCCTTCCTGTAGATTTTCATGAAGATGCAAATAATTGCTTAATTAAAAGAAGCAATATTGCACTGCATTCTGTTTGCAAATTTAAGAACTTCTAATGCAATTACTTTAAAAATTAAAAGATAACCTAAATCTCCATTTTCACTGCAAAATTTTGTTTGGCCTCTTTTCTTCTCACCTGCTGATGAGACTATTTAATTTTTGATCCCAGAAACAGAACAGGAAAGAGCAATAAACAAACACAAAAACCTTCCTTGAAACTAAATCATGATATAGTGGTCAGATTTCGTACTTACTATGGTATTTATGATACACAAAGAATATTCAAAACTGGTCTACTCTTAAAAGTGCAACATTCTATCTATAACATTTTCATTGTTGTTTTCTTTGTTTCAGTGTAGACAGAGGATTCTTGCAGCTTGCTGGATGCTTGTCTCAGAGCTCCCACAGTGATACAGAACAGTTTGCAGGACACATGCATTGTTCTGGTACCTGAAGCTTCATCTCTGCATTTTTTTTTCTTCAGGTTCCTAATCTTTATTCCACTTAAAGGATCAGCTGGGCACCTACCAAGTGACCAAAATACAATATTTTCCCCCAGCGTGATGGGAACTGTGGTCATTTTGTGAAGTAATGACATTTTACAGGCAAAATGCAGGATGCAATGAATATACTGGGGATATAGGCAGTCAAAAAGGATAGGCTGCAGAGTGCCAATTTCAAATAATCCCAGTAAGCCTTTTGAGATCACCATGACAGAAAGAACGAGCACAACTTCACACCCAACAGCAGAATAGAAAATTTGCTCATCATATTTAGTGCAGAAAAATAGGAGCATCGAGTCACAGAAGCTCACTGAATCTTGGTGGAAGAATTAAAAATTTACACTGGATGTTCCAGCACTCAGTGGAATCTCTAGGTAATAAGACAATCACCGGACAGCATTTCTTCTCTCCTGATCTGCACATTCCACACTTTTTCTCAATATTGATCATTTTATGAAGACACCCAGCATTGCTATGATATAAACAGAGATGCTACCACTGCTCAGTCAAGCTGCTTTCAATAAACAATTTTATATCAGTCTCTTTTTTTTTTTTTTGCTGCTATTTTACATCTGTACGCTATTTACATTTGTTCTTAGCAACACTGGGGTGTATCATTCGACCTGCACCATTCTGAATGATGAACTTGGAGTTACCTACTATGCCCCCATTCACAAGACAAATCAACTTCTGCTGAAGCACTCTACACAAGTTCTTTATTTAGACTACCTGTATTTGTATAGTCCAGATTTGTTTTCTATATCTACAATAAGAGATTTAGATCTTTTATCTACACTGCAGTTCTTCATCGTTTGCCCAGTGCACTCCTACCTCTGAAATGCTGCTATCCCTTCGTGTCTCACGGAAAGTGTAAAGCAGAACATTACAGCACTCTTCTGTGTATGGCTTCAGAGCCTGGTACCTTCCACATCGGCTCACTTTCTTTACTTAAAGATAGTTATAGGAATATTACTTAAGGAAACATTTACCATTTGTTTCAGTGATGCAATCAGTTGACTTAAGTATTAAAGCTACTGCTAAATTTCACTCGCAAATTTCAACACTTTCCACAATTCACATTTCATTTAACACCTCATCCTTCCCTTCTCATCGTGACACCACTTGTTCCAAACCTGAATTCTCACCACTTTGATTTTAACAGTTCTATTAATAGTTATTAAGAAGCAATTCAAAGCACGTTTAAGTTCTGAAGATCAAGATACAGCCAGCATACAGGATCCTTCAACTTTGTAATCCATTGGGATTTAAAAGCTATTAAATGACTTACACAAAGCAAATTCCTTTTTCTGCTGGATGCATCTCAGAGTATCATATTGCTCAGAGAAAGAAGGCAGGACTGGAGGCACCAAGTTGAATACCAGAAACCGTAAGTATCAGAAAGCTAGATATCTAGATATTTCTTTTTAGAATTTATTTACCATGAATGACTCTACAAAAGACAAACAAACAAATCTCTCCTTTCTACATCTATTACTACCAGAGAAACTTAGCTGACATTATTGGATAAGAGACTACAGAGGAGGGGATGTAAGCCAGGAAGCCAAAAAATTTGCAGACTCTCAAATTTCCTCTTAGTGCATTAAAACTCCATTGCCGTCACAGAAACATTTTGGAAAAGCTAACTAGAAGAGGGAGCATAGTTTATATTCTATGCCAACTATATTCTCACTGTGAAGACTACCAGCATTTGGACCTGTGACTGTGAAGAAAATACCAGAGAAAAAAAAATATATCTGTCAATTTACTCAGGCCACTTAATTTTACAAGCACTTTAAAAGAAGAATTGCAATCAAAGGACAGAAAAAAGAAGATAACCCCAATTAACTATCAGTCAATTGCAGCTAATGCCAAGAAATAACAGGGTATGCCTGCTCCATGGTACAAACACTGCTGTACAAGCACAATGAAGGATGTGCTTTAACAGAAAAAGTGATACCTCTGAGAGCTCAACTGTCCTGCACTCCTGAGAAAGTCCACACATGCGTTTTCATGTGGTGTAATGACAACTTATGTTTGAAAATGCTTCAGAGCAGGAAAAGCAGAAAGACACTGCACTAAGAAGCTTCACATGTGTCTGTGATAACAGGGATAAAGAGAATTGAGACAGCACCAGTTGCCACCCTCTCCAATACAGTTATCCTGTACCATGAGATCATGAGACAATTTGTTGTACGTGCTGAAGATACACAGTAAATATCTAGTTGGACACTGACAACCAGCCTAAAACGTACATCACCAAAATAACCACATAACTTTCATGGGGACATGCACAGAAAATAATTCCCACAACTTCAGAAAGATTTATTTGATTTACTCATTTGCACTCAAAAGTGGATCTGGCCCAAAAAAGTGTTAGAGACACGACCTTCATAGTATATGTAGCTCCTAACAAAGGTTAGCACAACTGTTCACACTTCCCAACTCCAACGAATTTGTCTGCGACCATAAGTTTTAAAAATCACATTGACTCAAATATGCATATTCCTGCTTATTTGCCCTTGCACCAGAAAGACAACTGGTCTGAATAAGACATTTGGTTTTTTTTTGTCTAGCCTTTCTGCAATCTTTACACAAGAAAACACAAGAAAAAAAATCCAATTTTAATGTAGGAAATTTATGAAAAAGATTGCATTAGTAGGAAGCTTAATAATTTCTGTATCTGTTAAGAAAAGAAGAGTATAACTCATTTTAAGTAGATCTTAAATTCTAAATCCCAGAGAAGGAAATCACACCCGTAGAGAATTTGTTTCAGTTATAAGCATTCAACATGTTTGTGCGCATGTATAAATATATTTATATATACACACACGCTGTCTCTAATTATCTCAGTCTAATAGAGTTGTTTCTTAAGACAGTGCTTTACGGCCCTTCTCCTAAAGTAATTTTCCTCTCTGCTTGTGCTAGCTGGGGGGTTTCATTACTTCCAGCCTAAATGGGATGCAGTGATTCATTCTGTAGTTATATGGAACATTACTGTGCTCACAGCACATGGTAAGAGCATTAGGGAGAGCTCTGCCAGAACATTCCCACAGGCAAGACTGAGGTTTCCCCCTTGAAGAGCTGCCCATCTGTCTGCTATGCATGTTTTAAAAAACAAGTTATGATCCTGCAACATGACCTCCTATCTCTTGTGTCCACACAGCATTCTAATGACTTCAGGATCAGGGTTTCTTCCTGGGCTTGAGATACAGTCTGTGTTGGCCCTCATTCTCTTAAATATTTAATTCTGCTCCCTCCCACAAAAAAGAGCACAAAGGTGCAAAACAGCAGAAGACCATTCAGCCTTGATAAACTAATTTGATGTAAACCAATGACTACATATGGCATTGATCATATTTCTGCAGTTCAACCTTTTGCTCATTCAGTGCAGAACTATATTTCCCTGAACTGAGAACAACTAAGATGTTACATCTTACTGGTTTGAATCATTAACTGTCCCCTTGTTTCCCACTGCAATAGATGGTACATGTTTGTAATATGTTACATGTTACTAACACAGGACAACTAGAGTAACTGTAAGAGGGGAGGTAGTTCACCATGTACAGTTCAATTGCACTAACATAGACTCAAGCACAGTAACAATCCAAATGAAGCACAG